TAATCAGAAAATCTCATTACCGTTAAATCAAATTTGGCCATTGCCAGATGATTGGAAGCCACCAACCGTTTTAACTTTAAACTTTCTGCTCTTTTTAAAGAACCTCTCAAGAGAACAAATAATTGTTGCTGAACAGAGAGTGAAATGCCTATACTTGTAAAAGGAGAGTATGATGATCCTAGTGTCCCAGCTGTACTTGAGATACCATTTTCAAACAGCAAGTTTGAGATAGCTGCTAAAGTATATGCAAGACAGGAATCATTACTTTGCTGCACAAATGAAAATTGTCAGTCTTTACTGCAAAACATACAACTAATATATCAGGAAGATAGATTTGGGTTTAAATGGCAACATGCGCTAATAACATTTAGTTTGCCATGTATCCCTACCCTAGTGGCATAGCACGTATACTTTAAGGCAACATTTGCTGTCAGCTTACGTTTTGCACTAATTGGTGAACAGAAGTTGGCAATTCTATTGAATTACAAAACTTATTTCAACATGATTACCTGCTGAGAAACACGAACTGCCTCTGTCAAAACCTAAACATAACAAACAAATATAAGTGTGGTAGCAAAAACTAATGCATAGTAGAAAAATTGGCTTAATCACTAGCTGAGAACAAAACAATACAAATACTAGAAGCCTTGAGAACTAGGAAAAGGTCAAAATGTGGAGCATGTATCAAAATCAAAATGCTCATAAAACTTACCTCTAAAGCCAACTTTGGATGCCCAAAGTGAAAATGCATCATTCCCAAACATAATAATCCAATTTCATATCTTCCAAAGCTATTACCACCAACTGGAGGAACAAAATCAAATCCTTCCATCCCTGCACTTTTGACCAACAAATAACAAATAAGTTCAGATGTTACACTTTAATTTTATTGACTATTAATCACTCAATACGTGAGGGTATTTGTGCACAAGAAATATAGTTACAACTTACAAGATCTATAATTCAGAGCAAAAGACAAAAACTATAGAATAGATGAAGAAGGAAAAACTTTACAACTGCACCTACAGAGATTCTAAGTTTTGACAATCATAACATAAAAAAATTTAGTATTGGAAGCATTAAAAAAATGGAGGAGCCCCAGCACCATGTGGAATACCACCAAGAAACAGAATTTATTTAATAGCAGGTTAATTGAAGTTTTTAGCAAAAATTCATTTTTTGGGTGATTTATTTGCTTTGATCCTTTAGCCCACTCGGTGCTCTTCCTCTGTGGCAGTTTACTGTAGATTGATTACTAGGCATCATAAATCATGTAGACATAGTGTCAACATAGAGTTGTGATCACACACATCTAGGGCAATATTTTAATAAACTGAAAATTCATCATAGGGTGTCCGATAACAAGAATTCATAATTGAATTTGCAATAAGTAAATTGACAACTTTAATTCCAAAGTGAAGCTGAAGAAAAACAGACATTATTATAGAAAAAAGAGTAGAATGCCGGTAAATGACAATGGCCTTTGGTATCATACAAGTATGCAACAGACAAAAGCAACAGGATGGTGTCAACTATTTTGTTGGGTGGCATTCAATTGTTGTTATTGAGATAGAAATTAATTTCCATTGATGATGTACAGGCACAAATCAGTGATTCTTTCCACTTGCTTTATATGTAGTTAGTCAACAAATGAATCCAAGCATTGACCAATGCTGTTAGAGAGATTGAATAAAAAAATAACAGTTGAATTACCTGTAATCAAAATAGCAATGAAGATTCTCCAAAGCAGTAATATAATCATCATGAGAAAGACCATTCAAGTAGCTCAAAAAGTGAACCTGGATGGAAGTGAAAGTCAAAATGACTGCAAACTTTAATAGGGAAAAATGAATGAATAGAATTAAAAAAATCCAATAACCTTACCCGATGCAGTTCAGGTGCCAACTTTTGTAGCTGCCGTAGAATAATTTCAAATCCATTGAAAGAGACAGCACTACCATTCCTGCAATATGAATAAAACTTGAAAATTTATATAACTGCAATGCACAAGTTCATTGTAAATAAAATAAAATAAAAAATCAGGGAAGTTCCAGGTTTGCAAGGTGCTTACTTTTCAATGGTATCAGCTTGCTCTTGTAAGTAACCTTGTACCTGCCAATTTGTGCGCAGAAATACTGCCCCACTGGAATCTACGTCTCGCAGCATGTTACTTGGAAGGTCTCCATAAGGACTAGCTACTCTAACTTTCTCACTCTGTTTGGATACTGAATCAGCAGGCACATCAATATCTGTGCATGTGAGTTCCAACATTGTCAGTGAAGTTATATCATTGTGTCACTGTTAAACAGTGTGTCCCAGAGCAAAGCCATAAACATACAAACTCATAAGCGAAGTTAGATACTTATACCATCAACTAAACTCAGAAGTGTGTTTGATGTATGAAGGTGGAAAGGAACACTTTCACTAGCTTCCTTTCTTGCTTCAATTTCTTCGGAAACCTTTTCATAGACAAAGTTCTCCAGGTCCATGTTCTCATATTCTGAATATGTCTCCAGATTACTACTAGAATCATCTAAACTATGTTCTTCATAAGGAGGACAATTTGAGAATTCTTCTTTACAATAGATCCCTATGTTTGTCAAGAGATGGCATAAACCCTGGTCATTCAAATTAAAAGTTATGATACAAGGATGATAATCTACGCAATGTGGGAATGAAAAATGATTTTTAGGGGACTTGTATGAAAAAAATAAAAAAATGAGGCACAGAAAGGGGAAATCAAGGATTTTTTAGAGACCAAAACCTTATTTATAAACCAATTTCATTCTAAAGAAGAAAAGTAAAAAATGTACACAAACTAAGCATATGAGGAAGAGAAAGCAAAAAATATTTTCACAAGGAACACAAAATTGTATATTAAAAACTTCTAATACAACTTGCCCATCATGAAAACAAAGGACATCAGCTATTGAGCTCCATGGATTTTAGTAATATCAATGTAAACTCATTGAAAGGCAAAGAATGTAGAGTTCAAAACTCTGTTAGAAGCACCTAGCTACATTATGGAGTCTCAAAAAAGAAAACAACTTCACATCCTTCCACTTTTATTAACATGGACAGTGATAAAATAATATTCCAGCAAACAAGGAACAAATTAAACCATCATAAAGAATGAGTTAAACATCATACCTCAAATGATAGCAAATTAAAAGCAAGTACACAACGCCGAAGAAATATCCCCAGGTTACTGTTCATGTCCAAAATAACCTGGTCATCTTCAACGGCTCCTGAATCAGGACCCCCAAGTATTCCTGAACCACATTGTAATATCATTAAAGATAAAAATTCAGTCCAATGAATAAGCAATATGCACCTGTGCAGTAACTCACAAGTAAAATAAAAAGATAGAAGCAGGAATCAAAATAGACAAAACATGTAAAACAAAATGAAGGGTCAAAGACTAGAATAGTAATATTAAAGTTGATAACTCACCTCTTATATCACTGAAAAAATTAAACAAATCATCAGGTGACGACAGAGATGATAATCTACTCATCAACTGATCAATAACCCAGGAGGCTTCCCAGTTTTGGCTCATCATCCTCAATTGATGGATGAGTTCATCCAACTTTGGCTCAACGATATCATCGCAGGACTGCATAATTAACAATGTTTTGAATTTCAATACAACAAATATATGACCGGTCTTAAGCAACAAAAACGAGTATAGCTCAACAACTAACACAAAAACTCTCCCAGAATGCGATAAATTCAAAACCAAATCACAGTAAAAAACTGAGAAAAATTTGAAATGATATTTGCATTATCCACGTTTAGGAAGAAGAAAACAGAAACAGCAGACCTTGGTGAGAGATAACAAGAACAAGCCAAGGCGATTGTGCTGAACAACGGAAGAGAAAGGGAAAGGAACAGATATGTGAGCTGGTGGAGCATAGATCTTGAGGAGAATGCACAGTGAAACTTTGTGCGGAGTGATTGCAAATGCACCTCCCTGTTTCAATATCCCACTCATCGATTATCTATGCCTACTTTCTGTATGACAAAATGCGTGCATCAAATACAACTTTCGTAGTGAGTAATTAGTTAAGGGAAGGAAAGATGAAACTCATCGTCGATCACTGCAACTGTAAGTCGAGGTTTGTTTAGGGTTCGAATTTTGCTTTCTGTAAATGAAAAACCGCGAACTGTGTTTTTAATTCAAAATTGATAAATATGTATTTATTAAATAAATAAATAAATAGGGTATGGTGCTATTATTATTTTTAATTTTAATATGTGGTTAGATGTTTTTTAAAATTTTTCAAAACAAGTGCTTATTGTTTCTAAAACTGTATTACACTCCTCGTTTCGTCAATTTTATCTTTACACATTAAATTTTAATCTTTATTTTTTGAGACAAAACTAACAAAATATGAGTTATTGGATTAAAAAAATGAATATGCTGCTTGATTTTTAATTTTGATCCGTAAAATAAAAAATATAATTATAAAGAGTATGTTTTGTTTAAATAAAAAGTTTTTTTTTTTTTTTTGTCATGATGGTCCATAACTTATAAAAGGCTAGATTGGGCCAACAAAATATCAGTTGCAATTAAATTGATCCAATTCATCGATATCTAAGCTCAAAACACTCGCTTTGTAGCAATGCCTATGAAATGGTACGATGATAACAGTATATATCAAGTTTAAGGTCTTAGATAGATGCTTAATTTTGTCCATCACAATGGAATTATCCATAAATATCTTGTTAAAATATTTTTTTCGCATACGTTTCAAATTTATCTTTTTAAAAAATAATATTTTTGTATTTTTCACTGAAAATTTAGAATTGGTTAATTAATATTCTAATTTAACAACTTTTTTGACTTAGCAAAAAAAAATATTCCTGCAAAAAAAAAGTTTTAAAAATCAAACAAAAATTTAATAATTTAGACTACATTTAAATGAACTTGAAATATAGATTTATTTTAATGCTATAAATTATAAAGAAGTTTTGAACACACACTTAATAATATTACGATGGTAGTCAGCTAATCTATCGACTGAACTGCAAGTCAGCGTACCAAATTACCAACCAGTCTTTCACATTAAATACTTCAATTTTCGAAAACAAATTTTCTTTCAATTAGTATTAATATTATATCATATTATTCTTAGGAACGCAAATCTGGAGAATATCAGCGAAAACAAAAACCCTTGGGTGTTGGGTAGAGTTTCCGACAAGTCTTGATCTACGCTCATGGCTTCTCCGGTAACTCGTCGATCATCACTCTCTCTTCATCTATCTTCGTGTTTTTCAAATACTGAACTGAATTGCAATGATAATGATTCAGCGAGCTGCAGAAACCACTGAGAACAGCTTGGAGAAGATCAAGCGCCAACTAGCTTCCGCTTCTGGTCGAAATTTGTTGCAGGGACCACTTCTCAAGAGATCTGAAACCGTATTTCATTCTTCTTTCTTTTTTTTCACCGATTTACCTCCAATTTCCACTTTTATTACACTTTTCCAATTTGACGTGTGAATTTCGTTTTGTGTTCACAGCTGAGAAAATGGAACGAGCGTTGGGTGATTTTGGATCCAACAACGGGGAGAATGGAATACAAGTAGGTGTTTATGTATTGGTAATGGTTTTTTTTTTGTGTGGGGGAAATTAGTTTCGTTACTAATTTTCTGTGTTGTTTTTTATTGCTTTAGGATAAGGAGAAATGAACCAGCTGTTAAAGGAACGATTATATTTGATGCAAATAGCACCATAACTGTATCTCCAGTGAATTTTCAGTAAGAATTGTGATTTTGAGTTAAGCATGTTTTGCCTTGTTTGTAGATATGATTAAAGAAATTCTGTTGGATGAGTTTTGCTTTTTATGGTCATTTGACATGGTGTGGCTTTATTTCTGTGTGTTCCAGTGGGCTTCCTAAGTATGACGGGTGCTGCTTTTGTATCCTTTTTTGTTATATTTATTGCTTTGAAAATGATAAATGGTATGAAAGCTTCCACACGAAAATTTCATCGAATGAACTATTGCTGTTGATGAAATATTCATGTTTCCATGTTAAATTCGATCAATGGCTTTGATTGGTTATGCATTCTTTCGTTAAAGTTAGTGCAATAAATTCGTACTCTATAGCAAAGCTGTTATTGCTTTTAGTACTAATGGATTGTCAATTGCTCACAAATGGATGAAAATTGCTCTGCTTGTTACCTTAACTGTCTCTTTTAGATATTGGGACACCACAGAAAAAGGATTACTTCCTCTGTGCCGAGACTCCAGGTGCAGCTAGAGCATGGGTGTCAACTTTACAGTAAGTTCTATAATCTCACACTTTCTTCTCCCTTTTTCCTCTTTCTCTGGGCCAATTTCTTGCTATCTTATCCTTCTCATTTAATGTTTTTGTTAAATATATTTTATGCATGTTAAAATGCTTTTGTATTTAGAAAGAATAAATTTATAAGATGTATAAAGCGGTTACCTTGCAAATGTAATAATGCCTTCTTGAACCTAAAGTACTAATACATCTGTTTAGAGTTTTACTGTTTTTTGAAAGTCACACTTCTTTTTCGTGTTTTAAATTATTGGAGATCCTTGACTGTGGTATCTTCTCTTCGTGATTTTTAACTCTTTTGAACAGTGTTTTATTTTCATGGGAAAAGGCCTTCGCTTGGAAAAAGGGACCTGTAGAATACTAATTTAATACTTAGTTCAGCTTATTATGTTTGTGTTTCTTGTATTATTAGTGGATTGCATGACTCTTAGTCCAATAAAAAGAAGTTGAGGAATACTCAAAAGAACTTTAAACGAAATTATTAAAAGAGACCTTTCGATTAACTAGATTCTGAAATTTGATTTTTTATTGAACTCAATGGTGTCGTATAATCTATATAGCAACCTCACCTAATGGGATAAGACTTGATTGTTGTTGTTGTATTATTATTTTGTTTGGTACTCTTGATTTCTACTACAGTTAATTGATTTGAATGATTACTGGACCATTGCTATTCTGATTTGAATGTCTAATTGTCCGTAATTATTTCCTTGTCTGATTTATTTTATCATCTGACATTAGTGCCACTCAGTTGGTCCTAAAAGCCCATAAAGAAGCTGTGAATTCCTTAAGTGGGAATGGTTCTACAAAATTAGGAACTGTTGCAACAGTTGTTGCTGCAGCCAACTCAACAGCCTTGGAATGTTCAAAAGAAATTGAAGCAGCAATGCAGATTTCCTTGCGAAATGCTCTGGGAATGATGAATAATAAGACTAGTGATGGTCCTATGGATGATTTAACAATCATGAAGGTACAGTCTAGCTCTGGTTTATTCTATCTTTCTTTATGCTCCAGGTTTTCAGCATTTGTGATAAGTTTTTTTCTATAGTCCTTAAGTTTTTTTCTCTTTGTTTTTCTATAGTCTTGATATACCTTGATTTTATTCTGCTTGTTGTGTGGCTTGGGTTACACTTTCTAAAAATCTTTTTGAATTAGGCCAATTGCTTCCTGCATCCTGGAATCAACCCTTAGCCTCTTAGGTTCATCATTGATTGGGGGCTTAAGAGAGGGAAGAAGGATATGGGTTAATTATTGTTAATAATAATAAACAAAATGTTAATGACGAAAAGTGGGCAGGTAGGGTTGTACATGGTAGCAGCTACGGTCTTTGCACTCACACTTAAGCATCAATAGTAGGCTATAATGAAAATTGGAGTCTTAGAAAAATACAATAAACGGAATCATGTTAAGTTTGCTAGATTACCGTTAGTTTGCTATATTTATCATTATTTTGCTAAAAGTACTAATACATTTCTGTAGAATGATTTAAAAACTGTTATGTGTGGGAACTAGATTAAATATGAGTGTCACAAACAGGAATCAAAACTTCAATTATCGTTTTTAAAATAAGCAAAAGCTAAAAAAAAGTTTCTGTACTATTTTGATTTCTGAGAAGCTAAAATAAAAAGTTATCATATAAGTGTTTTTTTTTTTTTTCAAACTTAGCCAAACACCCCCTTAATTAGATAATTACTAGCTAGAAGATTCTTAGAAATAAATCTTAAGAATTTTGTGATGTTATGAATTTAATTATCATACTTTTAAAATATAATGCGTCAAATAATGGTTGAATGCTATGGTTGAAATTGAATTATGATAAGGACGATTCTATGAGGATGGTGGATATAAGTAGGGAAAGGTTGTTCTTTAATCTGACAGAATATTTGTATGTGGGTATTTTTTGTCTTCTTGGGCCTTTGTTGTTCTTTATTTCTTTGGATTTGGTTCTAAGGATGCTACTCTACTCTACAGGAAACACTTAGAGTAAAGGATGAGGAGCTACAGAATTTGGCACGAGACCTCCGAGCACGTGATTCAACTATCAAAGATATAGCAGATAAACTATCTGAGACTGCTGAAGCTGCTGAGGCAGCAGCATCTGCTGCTTATACTATGGATGACCAACGGAGAATTGCTTGTGCAGAAATTGAGCGTTTAAAGATAGATTCTGACAAGCAGCAAGAGTTGTTTGCACAGAAGGTATGCAATTATACTGGTTGATTTGAAAATATTTTTTGGTTGATGGAAATTCGAGCGATTCTTGGTAAACTGTTTTTGACAATGAACCCTTAGCTATTATTATGGGTACTACTTGCAATGAAATGTTCTTAAATTGTTTTAGCTAAAAGTGGCTGAAGAAAAGATACTTGGCTTAAGTAAAGAAAGAGAGCAGTTAACCAGGCAGAGAGATGCTGCTATTCAGGAAGCAAATATGTGGCGTACTGAACTGGCAAAAGCTAGAGAGCATGATGTGATCTTAGAAGCGGCTGTGGTAAGAGCAGAAGAGAAGGTTAGGGTTGCGGAAGCAAATGCTGAAACTAGGACAAGGGAGGCTTTACAGAGAGAATCTGCGGCAATAAAAGAGAAGCAAGAGCTTCTCGCATATGTGAACGTACTAAAAGCCCAACTTCAAAGGTCTATTTCTTTAGCCCTTGCATTTTATTTTGTTAATTAGATTTGGTGACTACTTTACATTTCTTTTCCCGCCTAAACATAAAGATAAAAATATTGCATATCAATACTGAGTGAAACAGGGAAAAGGAAGGAAACTTTCAATGGTTTATTTGTCTTGAGTTCTTTGAGGTTAACTACGAACGACAGCTATGAAATGTGGAGCTGTCATAAAAACAAAATTGACATACTAGATAGTTTTTTTGTTAACAGGCAACACATTGATACAACTCAGGTTTTTGAGAAGACAGAGTCATGCTCAGATACAAAGCATGTTGACCCCACAGAAGAGAATGTGGATAAAGCATGCCTAAGTGTTTCTAGAGCTATCCCTGTCCCTGCAGAGAATGTAGTCCACATGGCTACTGATCAGGTGAACATTCAGCCGGTTGGGGACAATGAATGGAGTGATATTCAGGCAACAGAGGCAAGGATAGCTGATGTAAGGGAAGTAGCACCCGAAACTGATGGAAGCAGCTTGGATATTCCTGTGGTTAGCCAACCAGGTACCAATCATCATCATGAACAAGGAGCAAACTCTTTCCATCAGCCCTGATGTTATCCACAAGTATACAACGCAGACAAAATTTCAACTTAAGGCAATGTAATTATACCATTTTGTTGGATGAGCGTGTAAGCCTTAATTGTTCACAAGTTATCAGTTGCCTAATCAAGCTGTGTTATGACCTGCCCTGAAAGTGAGTACCTTTTTTCTGATGTAAATGTAATACAACGAGCTCATCGTGAATTTTCTTTTTTCCTTTGGTCAGAATAATTTTCTGTGATATGTAACATTTTATCAACTAATGGGGCCCTTAATTTTTGGTCCCACTTAAAAACTCAACTGAAGGCCCATGTGATCATAGACATTCATGAGGTGACTGGTTATAAAAAGCCCGCAAATGTTTTACAAATCTTTTTGAAGCGAGCCCGTAACTTTCTTTAGAAATTGTTGCAAACCTTTCTCCTCTTCTCCTCAAGCAATGCTCAGTCTATATATTATATTTTAGAGCATGTTTGTTGACCAAAAAAAAAAAAAAAAAGAGCATGTCTGTATCATAGGTAAATTTGGCACATTTTAGTGAAAAGCTTATTATTGAAATTAATTTGAGCATTCGTTTTTTATCACATTAAATAGAAAGAACACTATTTTTCTTTTACTCAACCTCCGATTGCATTGAGATAACTAGAAAGCAACGACAGACGATATCAAGTGTCTACTGCATTGTTATGAAATCACAGCTCCAGTATTTTCGTGAATGCACACATTTACAGGTGACGGCAATACTGACAATCACTGCTCCACTAATACGGTGAAAGATTATCTGCATGTAAAACGACAAAAACTACAAGAGAAACCAAAATAAATATATTTCTTGTCTGTAAAATAAAAAAATAAACATATTGGTTTCTGTTATTTTTTTCTTACGAAACTACAAAATAACTCTTAATCTACAGAACATGATTGGCTACATAAATCAGTGAACATCATTGGACTGGAGAAAATAAAAAATGAACGGAGGGATTGAGGGAGTAGGTAGAATCCTGTAATGGTAATTTCAAGAATAGTAAGAAAGTATGCAACGAATAATGTCAAAACTGTAACCCTTCATACAAAGTATTTTGTCAAACTTTCTCACTTGAACCCAATAAAAGAGTAGGGTGAGAGATATGCATGTTGCAACTGTTATGGTAGTATAAGCATAAAAAATGCTCTTAAAATCTATTAAATTCTTTACAATCATAATAAACCTTAGATGGATCAACGGCAAACTGAACCACAGATCTGAGATCATCCCAGTTCTCATTTTCAAATGCATCATCCATATTCTGATTCCAAAAACTTGAGTGAGACAATGATGTTGGAGCCTGAGCTACAACATTGCCTAACTGACCAAGAAAAAAGTGGTTCTTCTCTTCAAAAACAGGTCTGGTTTCACTTTGATGAATGAGTGTTGAGTCTGTGAAAGTCAAGTACGGCTTGCTGTTGTCAGATTCTAAGCTGCATGTTTTGGAACTTGAAGAGTTAGTGGGGTTTGGCCTTGTCAGTGGTGTTGAGTCTTTCAAATTTGGTGTGTATTTTTTGTAAGATGGGACTCGTTTGAATATTCGGCATAGTGTCCACACTTCCTGCAAACCCCATAAAAGACATAGAAACAAAGACATAAAGAAAAGGTAATAGAATGTCTAAGTCAACTCTGTTGACTTGGTCGCATTAACTGAATGCCAAAACGATGCAAGATGAAATAAATGCAATTTATTTAAGATTGAGTGAGAACCACAAAACCCTCGAGGCATTTACAAGTTGCGATTTATTGTTACATAAACCATTGGATAAATTTCCATGATGCTCACATCTTTAAGTAAAGAGTGTTGATAAGCAAGGCAAGGAAGTGAATTGAATTGAATTAATACAATGTTTTGTATAGTTTTTCTTTTCCTTTTTGCAATCAATGTTTGGTGTAGTTGAGTGGGAAACCAATATAAATTAATTCACTATGTTGTCACAATTAAGGCTTTTACACAATCATTAAATATATTGATGTATAGACACATCATTGAAAAACTAAAATTTTATTAAAAAAAAAAAGTCTTATGATAATATTTTTTTATATTAGTTTAATAACATATGATTAAATAATAGTGCTTTACTATCTTCGTTATTTCCTCCTTTCTTTACTTTTAAATCCTCTTTAGTTCAATCAAAGTAGCCTGACGGAACAATGACCTAAGAAACATGTCATCGAACACAAATTAGATTTATAATGAATATTTAAAACCAACCAATATATGTATGTTATAAAAGTTTATGTATTATGTCAATTTACTGTATTTATTCAACTACTACCAATGATAGTTTAGGAATTTTAACTTATTATTTTATTAAAAAAAAAACTCCCGGCACATAAATAACAATTTTTTTTTGTTAATCGGAAAATATTATAAACTTAATTTCTTATAATTAAGGACATGCAAAACCCGTATTCTGCCACATATGTTGAGCCAAATTTTTTAGGTCTTTCTTGTATGTACATGTCATTTATCGGGAAAATTTTTGAGACCCAGAGTCAAATTTTTATTTGTATATATTTTAATTTTGTAGTAATAAAATGATTAAGTGAAGGAGATGTTACCTTAAGTTTGCTATAAGTTCAGGTCCACAAATCTTAAGCCTTAATTAATTCATCCTATCAGACGAGCTGAAGTGGTTATTTAGTAAATAAATTGGATTGTCTATCTTGATGTATAATTCTTCATGGGGTCTAATAAGCGTGCTTCTGACTTTTGAATAAACAAACGTACAGTTCTTTTATTTGTGGTCATTTTGAATATGAACAAGCTTCTAATCCAGAATCTCAGAAACTGTTGTAATCATTTGACTATGTTTTGTGTTTATGTATATACCGTTCTAGATGGTCTTTTTATGATTTTTTGAAAGTGGTTCTAGATGGTTTACTTTCACATTTTATACATCTTTTTCAGACAACATAAAAAGAAATTTAAGACACTATCTCATAAGATTAATATAGTAAATGGAAAAATAACGAAACAAGGACTAACATATGTAATTGACTTACAGCTTCTTGAACATCATTGGCATCATTAGCTTGTGGATTATTATTGCTAGTTTTTCCATTGGGTGGAAGGCGAAACTCATGCATCATCCAATCAGTTTTGGTGCCTTTCCCAGCACTTCCGCGGTAATAGACCAATGATTTCTTGAGGCCAATGCATTCATGTGGTTCTTTAACACAGTATATAGGCTTGTCAATCCCTGTGGCTTTCCAAAATCCAGATCCTGTAACCCTATTAGGCCTTATGCTGTTCCTGTATTTTCTCCCTCTTATGCAAAAGAAATACCATTCCTTCTCCCCCACAGAACTCACTTCTTCATTTACATTACCAGCATATAGAAAATAAAAGGGCATGAGAACAGAAACCATGAATAAAATATTATATTATACAGAAAAATATATATAAAAAATCAAAATGGGGTTTGTGGGGTTCCACCTAGCTAGCTAGTTAACTAGCCTAGAATTGAAACACCAATTACATACATGAATATCGCGCATACCAAATCTTTGTCTTCCTTTTCAATATATTTTATTGAATAACACACTATGGGGAAGCTCTTGATCTTCATGTAAAAACTTTGCAAAATGTTAAATATTAACTAAAACCATCTAATATTAGTCCTTTGTTATCGATATAATAATTAAAATTTAGTAAGGATTCAGATACTTTCTCCGACACAGTATATATATGCTTTCAACAAACACTCTATTATTCCTTGATTATTGTATTATATACATGATGAATCGTAGCAAGCTCAAGAAAAGTAAATATGTTTATGTAACATATATAAATTAAGAGGAAGCAGATCTTACTTGGAAGATCCCATGGATCATATTTGTAGATGTCAATCTGTTTGATGAGTTCAATTTTTAGAGGCTTTTTGTCAACCTTTCGCCTCAGATAAAACCCAACAAGCTCTTCATCAGTTGGATGGAATCTAAACCCAGGAAGCACAACTTCATCTTCTTTTTTGTCCTCATCAGAGTTTTGTAACTTGGCCACATCCATTATTTGTCTCTAACACTCGAGTATCTCAAACTTGGGAAGCTTCTTATAATGTGTAAATTATATTCCTCTTTCCTTATATTTATATTATTTTTTCTGTCTTTTTTTTTTCTTGTTTCATTGTGTAAATTGAATATTGGCTGCTGGAGTCAAGTCAAACATTTCCATTATGAGATGTATATATATCTTAAAAATCAAAGAGCTCCAAATTAAAGCTTACAAGTTTTTGACCTGATAAATACATATAGATTTTTTTAGGGTCCTCATGAGGCCACCAAAGGACAAAGGTTAATTAATCAAGGAAGGTGAATTACCAATGAGAAGAATTTTGAATCCATGTTAGCTTTCAGTGCAACAACTGAGGAAAGTCTACCAGAGTGGGCACAAACTTTGACTATTATATACACATATGGATGGAACGGAACAGATATTTGCAATTAATAAAGGAAAAGTCAAAAGAGATTTCAAAGAACATAATTTTTTAAGAGAATTTTCGAAAGCTAACTTTAACAAAAAGATTATTCATGCCTGGAACTATGATCCACCAAAATCACTGTCCAGTTCTAAATATCTTTCAAACTAAAAGCGTGCCTTTTAAACATGATTTCTACTTTTTTAAAATACATATTGTCATAATATCATCAAATTCAATCCACAACTCAGCAATTTGCAAAGGATGATGGTTTTATTTTCATATTTTTCATGAACCAATAAATTCTAATTTGAATTGTTTTTGCTTTTCCTTATGTTACCAACAAGCATGAATTTTCTTCGTCCCTCTTCGTTTCAAACGTTTGCTTTGATCCTCAATAATGCATACGTGACAATACATGAGGTCACTCAAAACGTTTATTTGAAGTAACTCCTGGCTGATGTCACTTGCAATGGCAAGTTTCTCTCTCTCTCTCTCTCTCTCTCTCTCTCTCTCTCTCTCTCTCTCTCTCTCTCTCTCTCTCTCTCTATATATATATATATATATATATATATATATATATATAATTGATCTAAACAACCAAGAACAGTGTTAAGATATATATATATATATATATAATTGATCTAAACAACCAAGAACAGTGTTAAGATAATAAAACGTATGTTAATAGATAATTTTTTATTTTTATTTTACTTTTTAAAAAATATTTTTAAAAATAGAAAACAAACAAACTTACTTTTTGCTCCTTTTTTTTTTAACTTTCTATTTTGGCAATAGAGATCTACATCATACATTAATTAAGTTTGTTTTTACTTTTTTTTTAAAGGAATTTTTAATATTTAAAAAATTATAATAATTAAATAAGTGTTTTCTTAAGATAAAATCACAAAAGTTTATTTTTTACCTTTTTCTTACAAGCCAGAAAGAGTAATTTTGAAAAAAAGAACTCTTAAAAAAAGTATATCATAATAACAGCATCATTCTTTTCAAATTTTATCAAACACATCTGAATATGTAATAAAATTTTTAGCAAAAGAAATGAAGAAAAAGAAAGAGGGAGGAGTTAATTCTTTTTAATACATAATAAGTGTTTTCTTGTGGTTGTGAGGGAAGTTAATTTATATGAGAATGAAAGAAACAAATATCAATAACTATATGAATTAGTGATTTTTTTTTTATTTACTATCTAAGTATTGTTAAATTAAAATAATTTTTTAAATAATTAAAATATTGTATAGGTATTTTTAAAATTTTAAAAATTAATTGTTGTAATTAATAATAATAAATATTTCGATCATAATATTAACTATTTATGACACTTCAATACTTTTTTGAATTTTTATCGTAATTTATTTACAAAAGTGAAATTAATTAATTTAATAGATATTATATATTTACTTATCAAATATTTTGCGTGCAATGAAATTAGAAGGCATGACTTTGTGTTAGTGTCCTAGAAAGTACAGCGTGTACGAACAAACTACCCAAATGGAGAAAAAAGGAAGGCAACACGTGAAAGAGACAAAAACGATTAGTCGTACACAGATTTCCAGTGCTGACATTTCATTGCTTAATCATTTTATTTTTTTTATTAAAAATATATTTATTATATTAAATTAATAAATATAAAAATATTTTTTATTAATTTTATTATTATTAATTATTTAAAAGTATTTTTTACAGTATTTATAAATTTTTAAAAATATTATATATTGTTTGAAATTAACAGTTATGCTTTTTTTTTATTTTATAAATTAAAAAATATTTACATTTTTTAATCAATCATTAATTTTATTATTTATTTATATAAAATCAATGGTCATAAAACATAAAATGTCATTTCAGTTTATAAGACAGCGTAAAGCTTAATTTATTTAAATTTAAAATTTGAGAATGATACTTTTTATTTTTTTACAATATTTGAGGGTATTTGTTTATTTTTTAATTACATTTGTATTTTAAAAATGGATATTCGATATTATTATAAATTATAAAAAATATTAATTAAAAATATTTATTAAAATTAAAAATCGATATGCGGGCTTTCTCCCACTTGAAAATTTACGCGCCTACGAATTTTAGTACAGATGGTAAATAATTAAGTTTTTTTAAAGTATACTAATTAGGATTTAATTTTAATTGAAAGTATTTTTCAAAAGTAAAGGAATAAAAACTCATTTTGGTGAAATGTCTGTGTTTGTTGGAGAATTAGTTGTTTAAACTTGTCATCATTTGGTTGATGTGATATAAATTAACCCTTTATTTATTACTAATGTACGAATATTTTAATATTTAAATAGCTAATCACTAATTAATCTTAAAGAAAGTAAGTGTGCATGATTGTCTTATTAGTATCAACATAGCAAATTAAACAATATCAGATTGATAGGTAACTTTTAAATATATTTAATTTATTAAAAATTTTATACGTATAATTATTAATATTATAATAAGATAAAAATTTTCTCCTAAGTATGTGATTTAAATATTTAATTATTAATTTGATCATCTATGCATGAGATGAGACAGACTCGTTATGAAGAATTGACAGAAACTTCTTAGGCTTTGGACCAAAACAAAGTATAATAGTGAGTCCCCTTAGCTTTATCATCTTATCTACAACATTTAATTTTAGCTTTAAACGATTAATTGAGATTGGTGTATCTAACCATAGACCTTTTCATCAAAATACATGCAAGAGCTCATCAATGTATTTCTACGTCTATTTTCTTTTTCGTCCTTCACAGGGTTTAGGAAAATGTATTTTTTAATTATTTATATATTTTAATATATTATAAATATAATAATTATTATTAATCATAAAGGCTACATTTTATTTTATTTTATTCCATAGTTAATTAACTGACAAAACTTGGCCTAAATTAGGTAATTACGTGAATCATGTTATAATCACAGTTGATCCTTACCTTAACGCACGAAAGATTTGACATTTTTTTTTAGGTTTTGGCAATCACAGCATCTGCTACACTAATTGCGAACGAACATCACAGAAATATTCAACTTATTCCTCCTAAATCAGTGCTAATTAATTTGCTAATGGATATGCATATCATGCGTACTTGCCTACCTATATATGACTTTTTCTCATACATTTTATTCCATTTTTTGCTTTTACTTCTCTGATGAAACATTTAATTACATTAATCTATTCATTTTAGATCTTTTTAAGGAATTGATGCTAAATCTCACGCAAATTATATTGACAATATATCTAATACAAGTCATTCGTTTGACTATAGTAGAATGATAAAATCGAATTAAGTGAAGTGTGAGTTGGTGTTTTCCATTCTTCTGCGGAAAGGTTTTTCAAAATTTCTATGGAAGCAAAACCTGTCTACATGTAGTTTGGGCTTATACTAATGCATCACCTCATCATTAAGCAACAGGTTAACTTTATTATTGAATTTTGATAAAATGGTTAGGCCCAGTGACAATGATAGGAATGAAAAGCCCAAATCACAAGCCTTCAAATTAACAATCTATGTTGTCGTTTCCGCAAGTTCATTGAAGATAAATTGCCAAAAGATATACTTGAAAGCCACTTTTGGACTATGCTTTTATTTTCTTTTTCTCTTCTTTGATACAATAGCAATACCTAATGCAACTTGTTGAAGAGTCCCTTGTGACAAAATTTAAGAACATTGAAAGAATACTTAAAAATCTATGCTACATTTTATCTTTTATCAGTATAGTAATAGATCATGCTTCTTCAATAATGTATTTTCATGCATGCAGGGAGAGACACTAATTTGTTCTGCCAATCAAGTAGCCTCAAATGATTTGGCAGATATTTAGGTTCTGATGAAAAGTATGCATTTCGAATAATGAGAATTCTGAGCCATAATCCCTGCAATTGTATCACTTCCCTTTGAAGCAAGTACATAGAAATAACATCAATTGTATATTATAATTAATAACATATATAGGCTATGATGTATAAATAACAAATCAAAAGTTGATGATTCTTACAGAATCTTGAGTTAACAAGTGAATAAGATCTTCTAAAACCAGAATCTGCTGCGTTTACCAGGATTTGGTGCTTCCTACCTAACAATTGAAGACCTTTTTCATCTGTAAAGCCATTGGAACCGGTGGTGTTCATGATAACGTTTTTTCTTGGTCTAAATTAATGTCTTGATATCCAACTCAAGAAATAATAAAAATACAACCCACACAAAATTATGATTATGAGTTGCCAAGAAGTAACCATCGTAGTTAAGTAGACATTTTCTTCCAACTTGGTTAGCACTCAAATAACATTGAAGTACAGTATATATCACTAATTACTTTTGAAGCTTAATTAGCTGTCACTAATAACTACTAATTTTGTATAATTCTTTTCTCTCTTTTGTGGTTTGTTACTCTCGTTAGCTAATCACTTGTGTTTCTGTTGCTTGATTAGTTGTCATTAATAATTAATTATACTTATACCTTGTTTCTGTTTCATTAAAATAGAGAACATAGCAAGAAGCTAATTAACATTGTATTATCATATCAATTAATTTTTCATATTGCTTTTATTAAAATAAACATAAAATAGACAAAGTAGGTTCAATACAATTCCTCGAAATTGGCAGCAAAAGAGCAAGCAGAAACAGACATAATTGGTATAATGGGGTGAAGAAAGTTGGCAAGTTCTTATGCTTTTAATAATATCATCCTCTCTTTTTCTTTTTCTTACTGTAATGGCGGGCAAAGACAAGAGTTGATCAGGCCGTGACAGGAAAATAAAATAAAATAAATAAATGAGTAAATGACAGAGAGAGAAAAGTTTTAAATAATCACATAATTGAGAAGAGGTATATAACATGGTATCCGAGGAAATTATCTGTATTTTTAAATTAATAACTGTGATTTTTATAATATTTTAAATATTAAAAAATATTTTCATTTTTTAAAATTAATTATTAATTTTATTATTTATTAATATAAAATTAACTATAATAATTATTTACGTATATAAAATAAAATAAAATGTTCTCTTGATTTATAAAAGCACTATAAAAATTATCTTAAAAAATTATCGGCCGACTTGATTAATCATAAGATATCCTTAATTTATACTTCAAAAGTTGTAAATTTTTTTGAAATAACTTTTATTATATACATAGTTAATAATCAAATTTTAATTACCATATTCAGTGTATTTTTTATTCAAAGAAAAAAGAAAATATTATTTTAATAAAGGAAGGAGTATTTAGAAAACATATTTTCTCTCTATTAAAAGCATACATTTTTAAGTGTTTTTTTTTTCTATATTTTGAGTGTTTTCTAAAATATGTGTATATAAAAAATAGGAGAAAATTTCTGTGTTGTTATATATGCATTGTTAATGTTATTTACAAAATTAAAGTTTTATTTTAGTAAAAAAAAGTATTTAACGTTATCACAAATTATTGAAATAAAATTTTAATTTTGATTAATAAATAACACCAACAACATTTAAAGAATTGTACTTAAATTTTGTAAAATAAAAGAGTTTCCTTAATCACAAACCTCAAAACAGACTTTAAAGGCAGGGATTAACGTATAGAAAATTAAGTGAAAAATAAAAATGATAATAGAGTTTTAGATTTTGGGTAATTCATACAATGAAACCGATGTGTTTTTATTGAGTCAGATAAAAAAAGGGTAGAGAAAACATAAGTCAAGAGCAAGAACACAAGCAATACTCAAATAATGAAAAATAGCTGAAAATGAAAGGAGACAAATTATAGTTCAACACATTCATTCCTATAGCTATAGGATCATCATTCATTACCCACTTTCTTCCTCAATCCCTCACACTCTTAGGAGTTTGGTACAACTACATTTATTCCTTACAAACACATTCAAAGACAACATTAACTCCAGTTTCCCTGAAATTCATAGAGCAACTAGATTGGAGCTCTATACAAGTGGAGAACCTTCTTCCATGATGGTCTACTGCTTATGTCATCCCACCAAGCACTCACATTCTTCCTCTCTTTTATCAAATACCCTTTCTCCATATTGTTCACAATATAATCAATAAATGGAAGGTGGCTAATATCAGCAAGGCTAAAGAAGTCTCCAGCCAAATACTTACTCTTTGAAAGCCTCTCATCATAAATGTTCAACACTTGTCCCAGCTTTGCTTCACTCTCCTCAATCACCTTTGGATCTGAAGTCACACCAAACATTGGAGCAAACAAAACATGAATGGCCAAGTTGTAGGCTGGTGAGTGAAAGTTTTGTGCTTCAACTTCTAGCCATTGTTCCACCAAACCCCTCTCTTCTATTGTGCTTCCTAACAAATCAACCCCTTGAGACCTATATTTCTCAGCATAATACCTCATTATAGCACGAGATTCTGCAAAAATATATTAAAGTACTCAAATTAGTAGGTACTAGTAAGAGAAAAAACAATAATAAAGCAACAAATATGAGTAGAAAAGCATAACAAGGAATTCTAAGTGTAACCAACCATATAAGGTATAATCTCCATCTTTAATTACAGGAACAACTCCAAAGGGCTGCATATATTATACAAAACAAAGAACACGAATCATAAGATAAAGAATCGAATAGTCTTGAAGACTCTAACTAGGCATATTCAACAAAAATGAAAGAACTGAACCTGTAATTTAAGGTACTCAGGGTCCCTTTGTTCTCCCTTAAGGACATCAACAGGGACAACCTCAAATTCGATTTCCTTCTCAACAAGACAAACCAACACCCGCTTTGTGGAAGCACAGTGAGGACCATACACCTTCACTACCATGGTTTCTCTTCAACAATGGGAGAAGTGGAAGAACCTCTTATTGTTCAGGTTTGGTGATCATCACTCTTGGTCAGTACCCTTCTTATAGTGCCTCTACCCCTCTCCATGTAAAATAGTTAATCAAAGTGGAGGAAAAGACAAGTTAATATGAAGACATCACGTGGTATGTGAAAAGACAAGTTGATATGAAGACATCACGTGGTATGTGGAGGAAAAGACAAGTTAATATGAAGTAAATTTTAGTGCTTTAAAAAGGTCATATACTAATTATTTTATATATTTATGAACTTAATTTTAAAAGTTCAGGTTGATCAAATTAAATAAATATTTTGTTTTTAATTACATAATTTTCAAACCAGTTAGTGTTGCTCGTTAACAATATGTTACATCAATTTAGGAAAAGCAGAGTGGGAGACTCCCAGGGTGCTTTCGCTGGAGAATCTTTTTACGAGTCTTAGATTGTTTAAGGCAATTAGATTAGCTGGTAAGTAATCTTAACAAATTGGTCAGTGAAAAAATCTTTTTGAAATTTAACATTTTTTCCTGATCATTTTCACTTCCTGAAATTCTTGTACTAATTTTTTGGTCTTGTAAAATTATTGTACCCAAGATAATAAGATTCGCTTGTATGTGGTAACCTTGTTTGTTCCTCTGTTTAAATTTCTCATGTAAGCTTATTTAGCAAAATATAATGTTATTATCCTTTTCATTCGGAAATTTTCCTGCGTGTTAAATGTAATTTAAAATAAGAATTGTGGCAATCGATGATTACCAACATTAAGGACTAATTGATAGGAAATGCATTCGAAATACGCAACTATATTTTCAATTGGAAATGACATTTTTCCTTTTGGAGACGTTCAAGTTCTCAACGCTTTTGAAAATATAGTTACGTATTTTAAAGCCCTTAAGAAAAGTTTGTTCCCTGTTGTTTATGCACACAGACTCTTCATCCATTCGGAGAATATTACAAGTGTCTCTTTGAAAGAAAGTCAAGCCATGCATTACCAATTTCATGAAAGATCAGTATTTGAGATTGATTGTGGCACGACTCGAAAGTGCAGTAAACGGTAAGAAATTGTCTTACATTTACAATTAGAGCGTAACCAAGTTGCCAATATCTATTTATTTTCACATTATTTTTATATTTTAAAAAATATATTTTCGAACGTAACTCAAATTAATTTTACTTAATTTTAAAATAAACAGACCCTAATTCTTATTTTAGGATCTTATTGTAAGACATTAATTGTTTTGAAATCATAGTCACCGATAGTGAAAAAAAAAGTTTAGACGTATTTTTAATCTTAACAAATATGGTTAATGATTTTTATCCTCTAAAATTTATTTTAATCCTTGTAAATTTTGAAAACAATCTTCATTGTTGTTAATGATAATGTAACTTATTCACATCAACAATTATTCTAATATAACATGATATAATATGTACAAATATTTATCATGTCATCATCAGTTAATGATAGAAATCATTTTAAGATATTTAAAATCAATTGATAAAATTTTGAAAAACAAAAATTAAATTGAGATATAAAGTAGTAAAAATGCTTGTACTTTTAATAGTTGAAAATTTAGTTCAAAAATCAATTACCGGGAAAAAAAACACTCACAACTCAGCCTTAAATAAGGTAAGAACTCGTTGCACCAACACGATTTATAAATGAAAGTTATCCTCCAGTTTATTCTTACCATGTTTACTCATTCGTTCAATTCTATCTTTCCTCCAGTTAATGAAAGTTGTCCTTAGTACTTACGAAGGGGTGAAACTCTATTTTTTGCTGGTAGCTTGATAGTTTATTAAGGCACTGCGAAAGTTTTATAATCAATTGCTGAGACGAACCAATCAGCATACTGAATGATGTTTATTCGTACTTAGTTTCCAAAATTTTGAATTTCCCTGGTAACACAACGGGATGGGATGGTCATATACAGATGTCAAAATGACACCATAGAAACGAGACAGGGAATGAGTTGAAGATTATTGCTGAGATGGAGTATCACCTTCTTCAATCGCATCAAATGGCACTGGCTTTCCACCAATAAACTTCCTGCCAAATAACAAATTAGCAGGGCATTAATACACATTCAGATATCAAAAACCGACAACTAAAAAAATAGAAAAACAACAAAATTCAGATGTTACAAATGCTAAAAGCAACAAATTCCTCGATAAAATGAAACAAATATTTCATGACATAATTGTCGGTTGTGGCATCTAGACACGCCGAGCAATTGGGTATTTCATCGATCAAATGGAATCACTTTTATCCCGTAAATGTGTTAAACTCAAGTTAAGTTTCTTAGGTCAACAAAAATGAACCATTATTAACATTCAGCGCATTATATTATACAAAAAGCATAAAATGCACCAACTGCAGTGGTCACCTTTGTCATGGTTGATGTTAACTTTATAGCTTTGAAGATTTTTTATTCTTCTTTTTGTCCTTCTTAACATGTGAACAGATTACAAGGCATTGTTAACCAGGGATACCTTTGAGATATAAAATTCTCCTCAAACAGTGCTTTATCCAGCCTAACTTCAAACGGTGTCGCATGCCACTTTACTTTCTGATCCTGCGAACAACGAGCACTAATCAGATGCAGTATATAGATGTAAAACTCCATAATAATAGCAAATTAACGATCAGAAGTCACACCTCCTTGTACTTGTTGGTTGAATTAGGGATGCCATTGCCATCCCAGCCCTTACGAGAAAAATGGATATCCTCATTTTCGTTTGAAACTTCACTCAACCTTGTATCTGGAATAGGAGTTGCATTTCGAGCTTGTTCAACAGAATCAATTAGCTCACGTGAATCTTCTTCGAGGTTCAAGTCTTTCTCCTCAAGTATCTTGCACCGGAAGACATGCTCACTTGGGTTGTAAGTTGGATACACAAACTGGGACCGAATTTGAGCTTTACCATAACGTAACTCTTCTAGTGATGTAGGACACACAGTTCCTGGTGTTTGCATCTCATCAAATAACTTCATCGGGGTAGGATAAGGCGATGATTTATATGCACTTTGGTTATTTGGAGACCTGCTTTTCTTCATATGCCAATCATCTGATGAGCTTCCATCGGATGCCAAGTCGATATCACATTCAAAACGTACAGATTTGGTCTTCCTCTGAGTGTCTGTGGCTAGGAAAGGTGAAGCTGCATTCCTTTCAGTCCTATTTGCTATACCAAGGTTCCCTGTCCAACTTTGATCCATATGGTCAACAGAGTCATCTTGACTGTCTTGTGCATTGGAGATACAGCTGCAGGAGTAATGAAATTAACATCTGATCAGGTTCTAGTCCTCCCACTCGGGTTATTTTCAAAAATAGACAAATTCTAAGTTCTAACCAAAATAAATCCCTACAAATTAACGGAAAATCCGAAAAGGCTTGTCCATCTGAAATCCAAAATGGAAATGAGAGGTACAGAGACCATTTGAAAGGCTTTTTTTTTCAAAAGCGGAACGAATTTTCTGATTCTTTAGTAGTTAAAAGATTCAGTTGCTCTAAATCAGGAAGTCCAATTTTTGAAAACGTATCTACAGCTGACTATGAAAAATGAGAGTGGAAAATGGAAGATTCAGATACCATGCAAATGGACCAAAATGTCACCAGGTCAAATTCATTATCATCAGTGTTAAACAAAATCAATTCAAAATCACGAATAACCTGCTTGGTGTTTGCTCAAAACAATCTGTGCTATTCCGCCATTCTTGGCAAATTTTTATGGTAGTGGGTGAACCAAATGGTTGGACATCCAGCTTAAGTTTCTCGACAGAGGTGTTGGGAAGCCAAGAATGAAATTTTGACGGGTCAGAATCTTCATCAGTAGATGGTGATACTTTCAGTTTCCCAGATGCTTTACGAAATTCAGCAGGTGTTCCTGGTAAGGTTCCGCAAGCTTTAAGAAACTTAGCCTGCAAAAAGAGTTCATATAATGAGATAAACAAAATTCAATTGACAATAACAAAACAAATATCACCCATTTAAAAAGTGAGAAGCAAAAAACAAAACAAAATGTAAGTGTGACTTATGAGTATCCGAAAAACGATCTCAACCATGATGCACTTATAACAGTGATGGATGACTTTAAACCAGTCAAACAAATTGGAGAAAGCTAACTGAAGGTCCTAATTGTGGTCATCACTCAATTGTTTTCGGTGCGTTTTAAATAAAAGGTTTATAAATTACTCTGTTTCTATCCATGTTTTTTTTATTCTGTATTCATAAACGTTTGCAAAATTTACAAATTACAAACTGTCCAAGAACAACTATGAAACCCAAACTATATCAGCTTGCAGATTCATTAATCCATCTTAAAGTGAATTCACAAGACAAAAAGTAAACCCTAACATCCCAAGAAGCTCAAGCCTCAAACTAAAACTACAAAAAATTTAAACAACCAAGCATGTTAGAGTAATAGTGAAAAACTAACAGGCAATAGCACTGCGAAAATACCTCGTCCTTAAGCCCCTGGTCATCTCCCTGAGACCCCACACTATCATTCCATGCAGAATCTTCTCTCTCTTCTAAAAAGTTAGAGCACAAAATCATTTTAAAAAATTACCATGAAAATGTAATAAAAGAAAAAGGGGTGACAAAGAGAAATACCTTCAGATAATGAAGGAGACAAGCGATTTCGAGATATCAGAACACTCTGGTTTACACACAGAGAAATTACAAATCATTATAAATCTAAAAAATGAAACTATGCACAAATCTCATTAAATGTAGTTCGTTACACGCGATTCAAATTGAGCTGAAATTATTGCTGAGAAGAAGGGAGAAATGTTACAGTGGAACGAGAGGGAGCCGAAATCAATTGTGCTGTGTGAATGCGTCGATTTTCTCTGATTCTGAAGCAAGCGAAGAAACAACCCATGGCTTTGGTGAAGGATCGGAAGAAGAAGCGTAGCAGAAACCCTAACACGCGCTTTAGCATATCATGGAATTCACAACCCTCGGATTTATTTTTCTTAAACCTTGGAATTCAATTCAGAAAAAGAGCGAGAGAAGGGGGCGTGAACTGTGCGCAGTGATGATCGGTTTGAATTTTGAAGTGCCTACGAGCGAGGGAAATTAAATTACTAATTAATAAAATAATAATAATAATAATAATAATAATGAAGTAACGTCTGATTTGGACACTGTAATCGTTTTAGGTTGTGATAAAACAAACAAGTTTTTTAAGATATTGAATTCGAAAATTAAGTAAAATAGCCAAATAAAACAAATTACAAATTTAAATACTCTTTAAGTTAAACTAATTAGAATAACAAGGAATTAAGCTAAAAGAAACACAAATCATTAAGGCAAAGATCTAAATAGGAAGTTGATGAATGCTAAAAATTGTAAATATATTTTTATTATCAAAATAAATATAGTATATTTTAAAAAAAAATCAGTGTTAATATTTAATTAAATAAAAAAAAACTTGTGTACTTAATTTAATGATAAATGTGTTAAAATTTGTTGTTGTTCGAGGTATTTTATGTTTAAAGTTATTAAAAGCTTCAATGATGATCAATCTGTTATTAGCCTGTAAAGCTCACCGAAATGGATTTGGAACTACCGATGTCAAATGGGCTGCGCTTTACCTTTCTAAAAATAACGAGTTGGGCTGAATATTTAGTATTTGTTGGCCCGCTTTGTCCGTCTTATCTATGGTCCAATAGCCGGGTGAGACACATGGACTCGTCTAGCTCATTTTTTCAAATTTAAAAATAAAAAATCACAATTTCTTAAATAAATATTAATTTTATTTAATTAAAAATATTTTTATCTTTTTTCTATTTTTATTCGTTAATGACAAATTTTTCATTAGGCTATTTTTAGGCAAACTAAAATGATTAAAAATAAATACATATTTAGAAACTTAATAAATCACATAAAATTACATTTTGACATGAAAGTCATATTTACCATCGAAATAGAATAATATTTAAGAATATTTAACGAATATTGGTAAAAACAATGTAAATCTATTATAACAAATCACGTTATTTCATCAAAATTGTATATCCATTATTTGTTTTTCCTACGAAAAAATATATTAAAAAAAAATGAAGGGTGAAATTGAGAACTGAATCGTATGTCGTTAACATACCAATCGAGGAAGCGAACATCAATCAAGTTGAGATGATTTGAAGTGCAACACAAAACTCATTTTTAAAATGTATTGGGTCTAATTTTTAAAATTTAAATTTATCAAAATTAATATTAAACTGAGTCAAGTTAGTGAAATCAATCAAAAAATCAGTAATTACAGTATGTAAGGCCTTTTTTCGAGGGAAGGTTACCTCCAAACAAAGAGACAAAATAAAAATATTCCTTATTTTATTGAATGAAAATATTCATATACATATAGCAAGAATTTGCTGATTAGCAATGGACACGTTACAACAATCAACAGAAATATCCTAACAAACCCAAGAAAATACTTCCCTGTAGTAATACTCATGTTATCATTCTATGTACCCCTTCTAACTAATTAGTAATAAAGTCTTTTAGGTACTTGGGTCTGATCTTATTATGTTTGGGCCTGAGTTGCGTAATTGGGCTGTTATCTTCATAGTATTCCTCCAAGTTATCTGATTCAGCATTCATATTTTGGGTCATAACATCTCTTTCCTCTTCACCCAAAACCTTGTCCTCAAGGTGTAAATTAGGAAACTCAGTGAGCAATTCAGGAATAGACTCCTATGTAGCATCTTCACGATATAACCCATGCCATTGAACTAAGACTTTTTTTTTCAGAATCCCCTTCATTACGCCAATCCAAGATTGCTAGAGGTTGAACCTTAGGCTGGCTGCCATGGGCTTCAGCTGGCAGCGATAAAGTTATTTCAGTAGAGTCTCCATGGCATGGTTTTTATTTAGAAACATGGAAAATAGGATGGATTTTAGATCCTTCAGGCAGAGCTAACTCAAAAGCCACATCACCTATACTTTTTGTAATCGTGAAAGGCCCATAATAGCGTTTAACCAGTTTTTGAATTCATGATCCACTTACTGAGATTTGGCGATAGGGGCGCAATTTAACAAAAACTTTGTCTCCAACTTGGAAAGAGTGGGGAATACGTTTTTTATCAGCACAAAACATCATAGAATCTTGAGCTTTGAGTAACTTAGAATGTAACTTAGAAAGAAGCATTTCTCGGGTGGACATCTCAGCATCTACTGCTTCATTCCTACTAGTTCCAGCAATATAATGAGGTAAAAAGGGTGGGGACTTATTATATACTACCTCATAAGGGGTCATACCTGTGGAACCATATTTGGCTGTGTTATAATGCCATTCTGCCCGGTGCAAGTACCGTCCCCATTGCTTCGGTTGATAATGGACAAAAGCTCTAAGGTATTGCTGCAAAATTTTATTGACTGCCTCTGTTTGACCATCACTTTGAGGATGATAAGTTGAGGACATCCGCAATTTAGTGCCACTAAGTTTGAAGAGTTCTTGCCAAAAACTGCTTATGAAGACTGGGTCATTATTTGATAATATGCTCTTAGGCATATCATGGAGCTTACAAATCATAAAGGCAAACAATTCAGCCACTCTCATCGCAATGAAAGAAGTCGGCAACATACCAAAATGGGCAGCTTTAGAGAAACGATCAACAATAACCAAAATGACAGTGTAATTTTGGAAAGAAGGAAGCCCTGTAATGAAGTCAAGATAGATATCTTCCCATACTGCAGTGGGTGGGGGAAGGGGTTGCAATAACCCGTAAGACAAGTGCGAGGGTGACTTAATTTGTTGACAAGTAACACAAGTTTTGACACAATTTGTGACATCTTGTTTCATGCCCTTCCAATAGAAATTTTCACTAAGTCGACCATAAGTTCGCTGCACTCCAGCATGACCTGCCATAGGTGTAGAATGGAATTCATCAAGCAACACTTGTTTCAAAGGAGAATTGGCAGCAATAAAAATTTTGTTGTTGTAAAACAGAACACCCCGGATGATTTTGAATTCAGGTTGCTGTGTAGGGTAATGCAGAACAACTTGATATAAGTCTTTTAAAGCAGAATCAGTGGAATATTCAACTTGTATTTTTGTCACAAGGTCACATTGGGGCACTGTTAATCCAAAAAACTGAGGGGGGTCTTCCTGCACTCGACTTAAGGCATCCGCAACACAATTTGCAACTCCAGATTTATACACAATCTCATAAGAAAATTCCATCAACTTCGATAAGTAGTGTTGTTGTTTAGGTGTTTGCACCACTTGGGTCATGAGTTCGCGGAGACTTCTTTGATCTGTAAAAATAGTGAATTTTCTGCCTAACAAATAAGTCCTCCATTTCTTGACTGCTACAGTAATAGCATGCAATTCTCTGACATAAGTAGAGACAGATAAGAGCTTGGCACAAAATTTCTTATTGAAATAACAGATAGGGTGCCCCTTTTGCAACAACAGTGCACCCATGCCCTGCCCAAAAGCATTAGTCTCTAAAACAAAATCCTCTTGAAAATTCGGAAGAGCTAACACACATTTTTCTTATTATGCAAATTTATATTATTCAAATACATATATTTATATATAGAAATATATAGAATATGATTTGATTTATATAATCTTTATTTTTAGAAAAAGATTTTATGGATAAAAGATTTTCCTATGTTATACTATTTAATTCTCGACGATGAATCGATTTGATAATTCGGATATTATTATTCATGATATTGATACGAGTTGACATCATTAAAATTTTATACCATTCTTGGGTCATTGCGTTCTTCAATTTATCAAAAGCAATTTGAGCCTCATTAGACCAAGTAAATGCATCTTTTTTAAGAAGATCAGTGAGTGGGGCAGCAATAGAAGCATAGTGACGCACAAATTTGCTATAAAACCCAGTTAAACCCAGAAAACCACGCAATTGCCTCAATGTAGAAGGTACTGGCCAACTCTGCATCACCCTAATTTTCTCTGGATCTGGACCCACTCCATGCCTAGAGATAATGTGACCAAGGTAGTCAATAGACTCCTAAGCAAACAAACACTTAGATTTCTTGAGAAAGAATTAGTTAGAATTCAAACCCTGAAAAACAGTATCCAAATGTGAGATATGGTCTGTTAAGGATTTACTGTAGACTAAAATATCATCAAAAAATACTATAACAAACTGCCTTAAATAAGGTTGGAATAACATATTCATGGTTGACTGAAATGAAGCCGGTGGTGCATTGCATAGCCCAAAGGGCATGATTAAGAACTCATAATGCCCCTCATGAGTTCGAAAAGCAGTTTTAAGGATATCACCTGGGCTCATGCGGATTTGGTAGTAGCCCATCTTTTTTCTGCACTAACAGTACAGGTGAAGAGAAAGCGCTATTACTCCTCTGAATGATGCCCTGATTAAGCATATCTCTGACCTGTCTCGTGCTTTTGGAAATAAGAATATCGATAAGGCCTGACATTTACAGGATTGGATCCCTCAAGAAGAGGAATGTGATGATCAGTCTCACGAATTGGGGGAAGACCGTGTGGGGTTGCAAACAACCGAGGATATTTGTCTATGAGGGTTTCAATTTCTGATATCGCATGAGGAGCATCATGCAATTCAGAAGAAGGTACAAGTTGTAAGTGAAACATTTCTGCAACCCCATTAGTGACAATCATGCGCCTCAATTGATGTGAGGAAGCCTCTTATGGAGCCTTATGATTTTGGCCTTTCAATTGCACCATTTGACCATCCTTGATGAACTTCACTGTTAATTGTTCATAATCTGTGAATACTGGTCCTAGGGTAGTCGCCATTGAACTCCTAGTACGAGTTCTGCACCACTCAATGGCAAGACGAATAGATTAACAAGGAATTTATGTTCACCTAACTGTAGCGGAACCTGCTTGCACACGGAGGAGCATGGGAGTTCATCTCCATTACCAACAAGGACATGGAACCCTTGCGCCGGAACCACTTTAAGACCTAAGAACTTGGCCGTACGATCCTGTATAAAATTATGCGTGCTGCCACTATCCACTAAAATGGCAACTGGAGAGGAGTTTATGTGGCCCAAAACACGCAACGTTTGTGGAATCGAATGGCCCAACAAGGCGTGAAGGCTTATTTGGGCTGAGGTGTTATCTGGTGGATCAGGTGGGTCAGTGTGGGCCTGGTTTTCAGAATGAAGTAAATGGGTCAAATCCTCCTCGATATTTTCACAGGTTTTAGATTCCGCAATCAATAACAGAAATTGCCTCTTACATTTATGTCCTGGTTTGTACTTGTCATCACAATAGTAACACAAGCCCCTCTCCCTTCGGTTTTGAAGTTCAGCTGCAAAGAATCTCTTGATCGACAAAGAATTAGCACTGGGGCTGGATTTGGAAGATAAGGAAGTGTTTGCGATTAGGGCCGTTGAGGATTTGGGTGTATGTGAAGAGGTAAAATCTGTCATTAGGGCCGGTTTTGTAGCCACGGATGTAAATCGTTGGGAACGCATAGGAGTTACAATTTCTGCAAATTTCTCTTCTTGCAATTTGGCTAAGCTAATTGCTTGCAATAAGGAAATATGTTAGAAAGCCTGCACTTCCCTCCTAATTTCTGGTTTTAGACCCGAAATAAAACAACTTAAGAAGAACGAGGGCGGCAATCCAACAATCCTATTGGCAAGTGACTCAAACTAAGTTTGGCACTCTCTCACCGTAGACGTTTGGCACAGTTTGAAGAGGGTCCCCTTGGGATCCTCATAGTGTGATGGTGCAAACCTGATTTCCACAGCGTGAATGAAAACTGCCCAAGAAGTTAGCTGGTTATTGGCATGCATCCACTGAAACCAGCTAATGGCTTCACCTTCCATGGAAAATGAGACTATTCGAAGTCGTTGTTCCTCCGGTGTGTTGTGGAAGGTAAAGAATTGGGTGATTTTAAAAATCCACCCCAATGGGTCAGATCCGTCAAAACGCGAGATGTCTAGTTTCACTATAGTACGAGAGAAGGGTTGAAGTCCATTGTTATGGGAAGTATCCGGACCAAGGTTGCTATGAAAACTAACTTGCTCTTCCAGATTGCTTATGCGATTACTAATCTCTTCTTGGAATATTCGTTGGCTCTCCAAAAGTTGCTTGATGATGGTGTCAAGCTTATCCTCCATTTTTGTTGAATTAGCCATGGCTCTCTCAATGAAAGCACCAGATTGTAAGGCCTTTCTTCGAGGGAAGACTACCTCCAAACAAAGAGACAAAACATAAATATTCCTTACTTTATTTAATGAAAATATTCACATACATATAGCAAGGATTTGCTGATCAGCAATGGACACGTTACAACAATCAACAAAAATATCCTAACAAACCCAAAAAAATACTTCTCTAAAGTAATACTCACGTTATCATCTCATGTACCCCTTCTAACTAATTAGTAATAAAGTCTTTTAGGTACTTGGGTCTGATCTTATTACGTTTGGGCCTGAGTTGCGTAATTAGGCTGTTATCCTCATAGTATTATTTCAAGTTATCTGAGTCAGCATTCATATTTTGGGTCATAACACAGTCACTGATAATTATTTCTCTGTTGAGATTTTGAAATTTAAAAGAAGAATTTTATGTTAGAAAATTGAATTTTTTTAAAAGTCATGTATAAGAATAAAAAAAAATATCCAAACACCACTTTTATGCAATAGAAATGGTTAATTTAATGTATCTTTCATTCGACTTGTTTAAAAAAATAAGAATCAATTTTAAAATTGAAGATAAACTAAAAAGGTTACTAGTAGGAGTGGTAGACTTGATTTAGATGAGTTAATCCTGTGCAATATAGCATTAGCATCACACAAGTCTCTTTCGTGAAAGACCCTTTGTGGGATATAGCATCACTCGTGAAAAACGTTTGAAATGTTGTTCAACAAGGAATTATTTGTTTTGCTGATTTAGAGTTGTCAATTATTTTAGTTCTTATTTTCATAATAATTTGTTTATTAAATGAAACGATAGCGTTTATTATAAACACAAAATAATATTACGTTAAATGTTTTAAAAATAATTTATTTTTATTTTTAAACTTTAACATCTTATCATTTTCTTCTCTACTTTATTTGTTTCTTCATTGACTTCACCATCATCACCTAGATCTATTTTGTCTCTACTATGAACACAATCACTTCCTTCCTCACTACAATGTCATCTTTACACTTATCCGTCCTCCATTGTTGGAGCTATCGGAAATGAATAAGCGTTTAAAAAAAAAAATTAAAGAAGATAAAATGATGTTAAAGATAAATATGTTATTTAAAAAAAAACTAAAATGATATCATTTTGTATTTAAAACAAACTCTAACATGTTATTTAATATGATAAATCATAATTTCATATCATATTTTTAGTTTTTTTATTATAAAAATAAATTGATTGATAATTTTTAATACCAAATTCTTGAAATCTTGAAATTTAAAAGACTAATTCATTGCATATTTAGAAATATTAAAGTGAAAGACTTATCTTCACTGTTTTAGACATGAAATCATCATTAATTCTGTGGTGTATATTCACATATCTCCCGATAAGTACCCACGACCTTCACAGCACGTTGATCACAAGGACTTCAACAATCAGAATTCACACCCTCTGGATTGGCCTTCAGATCATACTCCAAAATGGGTGGTGGAAAAGGCGAATTGAATGTGAGTGTGATGAAGGAGGAGGTGGTAACAGCGGTGCGGCCAATGCACGAGCACTTGCTGCCACTCTCTAACCTTGACCTTCTTCTTCCCCCATTAGACGTTGGCGTCTTCTTTTGCTACAACAGCCCTATGCCATTCTCCATATCCACTCACACCAACAACACTACAATGAGCTTTGGATCCGTGGTGGGGTCCTTGAAAAATGCCTTGGCTCAAGCTCTTGTTTCTTATTACCCTTTTGCTGGCGAAGTGGTGCTCAACTCCATTGGCGAGCCTGAGCTTCTTTGCAATAATCGTGGGGTGGATTTTGTTGAAGCTGTGGCTGATGTTGAGTTACAGTGCCTCAATTTATACAACCCAGATGACACCGTTGAAGGAAAGCTTGTTCCAAGGAAGAAGCATGGAGTGCTTGCTGTTCAGGTGCAAGAAATAAACGTTCATATAAATAATTTAAATTGTGTTTAAAAGACACATTTAAAAAAATTAAATGGAACCAGAGATGAATTATTGTTTTCTGTAGAACACCGTTTCATATATTTCAGTTTTATTATGAAAGGTTACTGTCGCTTGAGTCTGGAAACTCAGTTGGCCATGTCTTGTACTACAGATATTTTAACAAAGGTATTTTATTCAAAGTATTTTATTTTTTATTTTCACATATTATATATATATATATATATATATATATATACATATATACATAACTGTTTTTATATTTATTTTTTCAAATAATACAAATGAGAAAAAAAAAAAACTTATGTACACACACGTGATGAAACATTAAATGTCAACACACAATATTTATAGTACTGCATCTAAATTTTTTTATAAAAATATAAAATATTAAAAGTATTGTACATAAGTTTTAATATAAATTATATAATATTTTATAATTAAGATAACATCCAACTTAATTATGTTCTTAAATATGTTTTACCGATTCTACTTAAAGTTGAAAATGATTTTGTCTATAATAAATAAGTGTCTTTTTCTTTTTAACCAAGTTGTAAAATAAACTCTTCGTTACAAGTGAGTTAGAAAATTGAGATGAGAACAACTAAAAGTTTTTAGAGTCAGACAAAACAAATCCTGACATTTTTAAGTTAATTTAATCAAGTTTAATGTAAGCTAAATTTATAAAAAAGTTTAAACCTTACTCATTTTGAACTCTATTTTTATAAGTCTAATAAGGTTTGGGCCAAAAGGCCCAAATTGCAAACATTCATCACTTGTAATGGACTAACTTAAATGGGCAAAATAACCTATTATGTCTACTCTAGATGCGTCAACTGTTAAGAGACTTTTTTTTTTTTCTAAATAATTATATAAATAATTAGAGTTAATAAAATAAATTTGTATAACTAATTTAATTCAAATCCATTTAATAAAAGGTAGGTTTAAATTTTGAATCTTAAACTGAAATTAAATTTAAACTTTTTAAAACCTGACGTAATCAAGCTTGATGAATTTTAAACCTGAAAAAAAAATTGCTTGAATACCTCTTTTGTGAACTCAAACTGGGTCGAGGCATATGTTACAAGGCTGTTTAAGAAGTCATACAATTTTTTAATGTTAATAATTAAAGTAAAATATAATTATTTATATATATTACTCTCATTTTCATAATAATAAAATACTATCACCTGAGTAATTTCATAAATGTGATTCTTTAAATATCTTAAAGATTTAAATATATTTATATCTTTTTTAATTGACTTTATTATTTATTAATATAAAATTAAATGTGATAATTGTTATCGTTACCCTGTGATTTTGGTGGTGCTAGAATGTGGTTTAAGCGAGTGAAGTTAATGTGCACTTGTGCAGGCAACTAGGCTAAAATGTGGTGGGCTAATAGTAGCATGCACTTTTGACCATCGCATTGCTGATGCACACTCTACAAACATGTTCATTGTATCATGGGCCGAGATAGCCCACCCCAATAAGCCCAAAATCTCAACCCAGCCTTGCTTCCAGCGCTCGCTTCTAGACCCACGAGACCCACCTTTCATTCACCCTTCTATCCATCACATGTACGTTACCACGTCCAAACTCCCTCCTCTGTCCCAACCCAACCCGTTAATCAGTCGCATATACTACGTAACGTGCGAACAACTCAACCGCATGCAGTCATTGGCTAGCTCAGATGGCGTGAAACGCACGAAGTTTGAGTCTTTCTCAGCATTCTTGTGGAAGATGGTTTCGGCCAGTGCTTGTGAGGTTGGTGAAAAACGGGTAGTTGTGAAGATGGGTGTGGTGGTTGATGGAAGGAAGAGGCTTAGTGATGGTGACAAGAAGAAGGAAGCAATAATGGGTTCGTATTTTGGAAACGTGCTTTCTATTCCCTTTGATGGGAAACCCACTGAAGAGCTTGTGGAAAAGCCATTGACTTGGGTGGCTGAACAAGTTCATGAGTTTTTGGAAACGGCAATAACGGAAGAGCATTTTTTGGGGCTCATTGACTGTGTTGAAGAACATCGTCCTGTTCCTATGTTGTCTAGGATTTACTGTGGTAGCACTAACGAAGAGGGACCGGCTTTTGTTGTTTCTTCCGGTCAAAGGTTTCCGGAGTCAAAGGTTGACTTTGGGTGGGGGAAGCCTGTGTTTGCGTCCTACCATTTTCCTTGGGATGGTGATGCTGGCTATGTTATGCCAATGCCAAGTCCTGCTAGGAATGGTGATTGGTTGGTCTATATGCACCTTCTCAAGCGTCACTTGGACTTCATGGAATCTCATGCCCCCCATTTCTTTAGGCCTTTCTCTTGGCATTACTTGAGGCTCAATCGATGTTGACTTTACCTGTTTAGTTTATCTTGTTTTTCGAGGGTTGGTTAATTATGCAAGTTGCTGATATGTTTTAGTAAAACTAAGGTCAAGTGTTTACATTGCCTAAACAAAATGATTTTCTCCCACCCCTTCATGAGAAATATTATTTAGAAAAAATAATATGATAAAATGATTCATTAAAAAATGAATATACCAATATTGACTCAACATGTCAATATTTTTCATGGTGGCTGGTTATTTATGCAAAGGACACAACTTGTTAAGTAGTTAAGAGATTTAATAATAGAAATGTTGAATGCGACTTTATTAGAAAATCGTTTCATAACAATGATATAAGAGTGGTGGGAATGGTGTGTTTTCACATGTTATAGCAATAGCCGAAAGCCGTTCATATATAAAATAGTTGACTGAGTAATATTCCGTCCAAGTATTACTAAATAGCCAAACAGTGATATTAATTAAATTTGCATAATCGAAACTATAGTCGGAATGTTACTGCATCGAATTTGTATTGGTACCATGCACGGGTGGTTTTGTACACCTATTTTACTTATATATATTTGCCAATCTGTACCTACTTAATTTTTTTGTTCAAAATATTTTAACAAGTTATAATTTTGAGATGTATTTTATGAAAATTATAATTTATTATAATTCTCTCTGAGAAAAACAAGCAAGTATATATTAACAATCATAGATGATAATATACATTTATTTAGTTTTCAATTAAAACATTTAATAAGTTATATTTCAGGCGTATTTTAAGGAGAGTGTTGTTATAATTTGTGAAAATGCTTCGTTTAAAAATCAAGTGTATGGCCTCTTGCAAAATATAAAAACTCTTTTAACCTGTTGGAGATCCTGTGATTTGAAGTTGTAAAATTTAAATGCATTTGAAATGATTACGTCTCACTAGGTTGTTTGATGAAAAACTTGACTGTGATAACGATACTAATTCAATTGGGTAATGAGCTTATATTTTACCATTTTCTATTAACATTTGCTTCATTTTTGAGACCCCGTTGGGTGTTTTTCAACTATCTAGAAAATCATATCTTGCCATATGTGTAAGATTCACAACCAATAATGAGAATTAAAATATAATAATATAGGTAATGGATCCTTATGAAACGATTTTATCGATCTTTGATAACAGTTCAACCTTAAAACATTTATATTAGCAGTTTGTTAAAGAAAAACCACTTTGTTCAGTGATTTCTTTCTCCGAACGGAAATGCTAATACAAGTAATTCACGCTTTTATTTAATGGTCACATAATTAGCGATTTTAAATTATCAATATAAAAAAAATTTAATTAAAAAATGATTCTTTTAGTAATAATTATTTCTTAAAAATAATTTACCATGATTCTTGAAGGAGAATAATATTAACAAGAATATTAGGTCGCCAAATAATAAAGTAAAATAAGGTATCTTATTTAAAAGTAAGTATCGATTCTAATTAATTAGATAACAATTTAAAAAATTGAAATGAAGTGATATCAATTAAAGAAGACTAAAATGTTGAACAATACAAAAATAATGTAAGATTTGATAGAACTACATGTTAAAGTGATTTACTTTAACTGTGTTAATAAAATGCAACATAAACTTCAATATACATTTATTAACTTCAATTAAGTAGTATAGAGCCATCAAAAGTCTTTTTCAAGATAGTTCAATATTAATCAAGTAAAATCAAACATTTAATCTCTTAACATACTCAAGTTTATAAGAAATTCTTAAACCTTTGAATGACATATAAATCATATTTATCTATTCTTAAGTGTCATTCAACTTATAATATTATATTTATAGGCATGTATTTTACTCATTTTCTTAAATTTATAAAAATCTATATAATTACTTATGACTGTAGCATAGCTTGACTTAAGTTTCAGTCTCACATCCAAGTTTTTTATTTTTTTTTCAGACAACTGAAAAAAATAACTAAAATGCAAAGTAAAATATGAATATAATCATACAAGAATTTAAACTTAATAGTATAAAAATAGGAATTGAAAAAACTAAAAATCTTTTAAAAAAATCCTTAAAAATATATATAACTTGTGGGGGAGTTATCAATGATAATATCTGCTGAACCCTAAGCCTTCAAATCCCTTCGGGATATCAAATGAAACCTTGGTTATATAGTACATTTTAATTAATTTTACAACTAACTTTATCAAATGATTTTAATTTAAATAGCTAGTCATAAAATCTAAACTTTCAACTATAAATTATACATTTTTAGTATTTTTTTAAAAATAATTAAAAAATTTCAATTAATCTTAACAAATAAAGACTTTATGTAATTATGTCATTATTTACATTCGAATTTCTTCTGTTCATACGTTTCTTTTTCTCAACTTGACGTGGTTTAAAGTCGTCAACTTGGTGTTAGTCTTCAATCTAATAATTTATGTATCTTTTTGGATGGTATTTTTTTCTTTACATAGTCAAGTCATCTTGATAGCTAAAAATAAGAGGTAATGTTCACTACTTACCCAATATCATAATATTGGATATAATTTTTCGTCATATGCGTGCGGATGTGATATAGTAAACCACTCGATAAGGAAACGTTGAAAGTGAAACGAGTGGTTGGTGGCTTGGTGTAATTAAAAGATATTACAATTAATATTTCAAAATTAATTCGTTATTTAATTTTAATAATTTTTTTAGTATATGTAATTAAATTAAATATTCTTATAAAATATATATACATCATTCAATATTCATCTAATGACTCAGTTAAATTATATTTTATATTCATAAAAATAAAGCATGCATATTTTATGCCTTGTTGTATATCACTAAAAGCATTTTAATGTATACGAAAAGATGAGAAGCAATATGTCAAATTTAGAAACACATCACATCACGCGAGTTTCAATTAAAAACCTAAGAAAAAGAAAGTGATTGTTTTGTCTCTCATATATGGCCATGACTGAGCCAAATCTTACTGCTTTAGAGACAATGAAGTGTGTGGTAATGCTGCTGTCCATTCCTTAACGAAATCTTTAAATTCGGATTTTTTTTAATTTACGGGAAAATTAGACCTATATTTCTTTTTTTTTAAGTATATTTTAGTTCTTTTAAGTAAATTTTTTAATTTTTATTTAAACATACAAAAATTTGGTTTGAGTGATGATTTAAATTAAGTTAAATAAATATAGAATGATAATAGTGATTCTTACGCCCAAGTAATTATTAAAATTATTAAGAAAAAAAAAATAAAAAATATCATATTTAAGACATTTTTACTCGTTTAAGTGAGACACTTTAAGTAAAATTTGCTTAAATAAATTATAAATTTTTTAAGTAAAAATTAGATAAATTATTCACTTAAACGACTCTTAAATAGTTAAAATGAATTTAATTTCATTTAAGCAAATTATGTGCGTTTAAGTAAATTTTAGTTAAGTTAAACAAAAATTATAGAAATTGAAAAAAGACAGCAAAAATTGGTACTCTAGTATAAAATATAAGTAAATACAATAAAATAAAATAAAAGGGATATTTATACCATAAATATAGCCTCTTGATCAATATGGTCCCGTCATCATCAACTTGTGGTTGTTCTTCTCTTCGTTCACGTCCTATATATTATTAATAATATATTATTTAAAAATTAATAAAATTATATATAATTAACATAAAATATAATCTAATAATTTTAACTAACATTTCATTATTTTTTTAGAAAAATAAGTCAGTATTTGTTATTAATATTAAATGAATGACTAAACATTCATTTTGATTCTTGAGATAGTAAATATAAACCATTTTAATTCCTAACTTTCATTTTTACTAGACATTTTAGTTATCAAACTTAAACATCATTAATAAATAATAATAGAATAATACTGTAACATATATAATTAATTATGTAATAGAAATAATGTTATATATATAAATATTATAATATACATTTTTATTTATTTTTAATCCTTCCAACGGTTACATGCCAAACAATTTTATTCTTAAAACTATTACCACAAACATTTTATTTCATATTTCTTAAAACTTTTTATTTATTTATATTTCCTTCTTTTCTTAAAAATTAAATTGAATAGTTTTAGCTAATATCTCACAGTTTAGTAAAAAAATTAAGTCAAGATTTGCAACTGATATTAACGGAATATATTTATCTTACATATTGTATTATAATATTTTTGTATAGATCTTAAAAATAATAGGATGATGACCGACAAACAAACCCTGTTCATTTCACCTCTCTCCCTTGGGCTACGCCTATAAATACATGCAACCCTTATAGCTTCTATGACAAGCCAATAACAACGTTCTGGTGACCAAACCAAACCCTGAATTAGTGGATTTTTCATTCCTAAAATGGGTGTAGAAGACGGTGAATTCAGTGTGAGTGTGACGAAGGAGGAGGTGGTGGCAGCAGCGTTGCCAATGCAAGAACACTGGCTGCCACTATCAAACCTTGATCTCATTCTTCCCCCAGTCGATGTCGGTGTCTTCTTTTGCTACAAGAAACCTTTGCCAATGTCCAACACAAACCTCATCAACGTAGTGGGATCTCTCAAAAATTCCTTGGCACAGGCTCTAGTTTCCTATTACCCTTTTGCTGGCGAAGTGTTGTCCAACTCCATTGGTGAGCCTGAGCTTCTTTGCAATAACCGTGGGGTAGATTTTGTTGAAGCTGTGGCTGATGTTGAGCTACAGTTCCTCAATTTATATAACCCAGATGACACCATTGAAGGAAAGTTTGTTCCAAGGAAGAAGCATGGAGTGCTTGCTGTTCAGGTGCTATAAAATAAATATTTTGTTTTAATACGTATATAATACAAATTTATGCATAATAATTTTTTATTAAAAGTTACAAAATATCATAAAATTTAATGTACTAATATTATTAAATATCAGTTTTCTTAAATATTTATTATTTATTAGTTTTTTATTGCGTCAATAAAAATAATAATAAACAATTTTATAAACACGTGATACTAACTACAAGTGATACAATTATAATTTTTTCGATATACTTCAACACAATATTTCATATACACTTGTGACTCTTGACGGGAGAATCCAAGCTATTCAGGAAGAACCGCAGCAATTCCCCAATCCTAACCAGCAAGAATTTCATACTACAATAAAAGGTTTTCTAAAAAAATTCAAAATAAGATTTTGCATTAGCTATATTATAAATTTGAATTTTTTTCCTTAAATATAAAAATATCTCTGATTATATTGTGTTTCTCTTTGTGGCATGAAACTTTGCTATTATTTAACAATTATTTTTATGTTTTTTCAAAGATGTTAAATCATTGCTTGTTTTCAAAATTTTCTCTTAAGTTAAATTTTTTCTATTTTAATTTTTACATTTAGATTTCAAGATTTCAAATATTAGTTTTAATTCTTTTAAAATTTTATATTAAAACTTTAGTTTTCATCTTATATATTAACTAATTATTCTCCAAAAAAAATTTAGTTGTTTTAAATTTACTATTTTTCTTCAGATGTAAATAGTTTATATCATTCTATTTAAATTAAAAGTAGAGATATTTGTTAGTGATATTAATATTTGGCTGGATTAATAATACAGTTAACATGACTGCAAAGAAAAAAGAAGCAACTATTCTGTATAAAGTATCTTTTTAGAGATAATATGTATTTTTAATGTAAATTAGTACATAATTTTACCTATGTTAAGTACGTATGGTTGTATGCTTGGCCAAAACTTTTCACATACAAACTAATATTTGGAAAACAAAATTGTCCATTTAAGTACATACTGTCTTTGTTTTCGTTTTTTTTTTCGACTTACCAAGGGGGTGGTATTGTAATGTCAATAAAATTTTAGCCTTTAAAATTGTGTCAATTACTTTAACCTCTAATTTTAAAAATGCATAATTACATAAAAAAAGAATATGTAAAGTTACATTTGAACATAATGCTAAAAGAATATATATAATAGTATCATTTTTTGAATTGTCAACATTTATTAATTTTATGACAGTTGAACTAACTATACAGTACACACGACATATATATATATATAAGATTTGAGTGACTAGTCAATGGTAATCAACACAACCGGTGGTTTAATTAACGAAGTTGAATTGATGTGCACTTTTGCAGGCAACTTGGTTGAAATGCGGTGGGTTAGTAGTGGCATGTATTTTTGACCATCGAATTGCCGATGCACACTCTGCAAACATGTTCCTTGTATCATGGGCCGAAATAGCCCGGCCCAACAAGCCCACAATCTCATCCCAACCTTGTTTCCGACGCTCCCTTCTCATTCCACGACGCCCACCGTGCATCCACCCTTCACTGCATGACATGTACGTACCCATCTCCCACCTCAGTCCTCCATCCGAACCCGACCCACTCATAAGCCGCATATACTACGTCTCAAGTGAACAACTCAACCGCATGCAATCACTGGCTAGTTCAAACGGTGTGAAACGCACGAAATTTGAGTCTTTCTCTGCGTTTTTGTGGAAGATGGTGGCTGGTGCTGCTTTCAGTGTTAACGGTAAGAAAAGTGTTGTTGCGAAGATGGGTGTTGTGGTTGATGGAAGAAAGAGACTTAGCAATGGTGACAAGAACAAAGAAGCAATAATGGATTCGTATTTTGGCAACGTGCTTTCGGTTCCCTATGGTGGGAAAGTGGCAAATGAGCTTGCGGAAAAGCCACTGACTTGGGTGGCTGAACAAGTTCATGAGTTTTTGGAAACGGCAGTAACGGAAGAGCATTTTTTGGGGCTCATTGATTGTGTTGAAGAACATCGTCCTGTTCCTATGTTGTCTAGGATATACTGTGGTAGCACTAAGGAAGAGGGACCGGCTTTTGTTGTTTCTTCTGGTCAAAGGTTTCCGGAGTCAAAGGTTGACTTTGGGTGGGGGAAGCCTGTGTTTGCGTCCTACCATTTTCCTTGGGGTGGTGATGCTGGCTATGTTATGCCAATGCCAAGTCCTACTAGGAATGGTGATTGGTTGGTCTATATGCACCTCCTCAAGGGTCACTTGGACTTCATGGAGTCTCATGCTCCCAATTTTTTTAGGCCTTTCTCTTGGGATTACTTGAGGATCAATGAATGTTGACTTTACATGTTTATTTATCTTGCTTCTTCGTGGGTTGGTTAATTATGCAAGTTCTTGATGTGTGTTGTGATTAATTTTAGTGAAATCAACGTTGGATCTCACGTTATTACGAAATTAATCCTATACAATTTTTCAACCATTGTTGGATGATATTGGATGTTACATTGTCAAAACAAAATGATTGTCTCGCGCTCCAGCAAATATATATATATATACAAATTATTATAATGAAAAAAATAAAAATGAGCCGAGTATAAAAAAGTTTAAATAGAAAGAAACGTAAGAAATTTAAAATTATTATAAAAGCCTGTGAAATATACAAGCACGTGGACTTACTAATCCATTTAAAAATTTATTATTAGAAAATATATTTTGTTTAACAATTTAGATTTATGTTTTTTTTTCGATTCACGTTTAAATTTCTTGTAAATATTGCGCTTTCTTATTTTGTGATATGTGTGAATTGCAATGATCTTCATTTTATTTCAAAATAAAATGCCATCTTCTTCCTAAGGCATTTTGATATGTTAGTTTAATAAAAACCAGCATGTTAGAAGTTTTTCTCTATATGCCATTCCTAGCATCATTGATAGTTAGTTTTGATATTTATTGACTACTAACTTTAAAATTTTAGAAGATAGAGCAAAATTTTTTAGTAATGTTTCAATTATTTTTGTTTCATGAATTGAATGATAAAAGCAATGATAAAGTATTCAACAATTAACCATTGATGATATTTGCCAAGAACAATTAAAATCCTAAAGAGAGTCATATATTATTGTTCAGTACTCCTGTAAGGTTCATTTTTATTAGAATAAATTAAGTATCCATATATATATATATATATATATATATATATCTTAAGCAGAAAAATTAAAATTTTCAAATTAAAAAATATTCAGATACTAGTTTTAAATTTTGTTTCAAAATTCATTCAATCAAATCCTTAACTGTGTATTCTATTGATGTCAGCTAACCAGTAGATATGCACCATCCTTCGATTAGCCAATATTGCCAAAGTTGGTAGTTTGTGTCCACTGTGGAAACTTTAAAGTAACCAATTACTATCATTTGTGGCAGAATTGGGGGGTTGTTGAATAGGTTATTAATTCGTATAGTAATCATGAGGTGATTAAATATACAATAAAATCTTTAAGAGGTACCACAAATTGACTTGTTTACCGGCATAGAAAGAAAGCGACTGTATATTCCTAAATTTGACTACTACAAATCAACAAGTTGCATACGATGCATAATTAACAAAACAAAACCACTGTGTGCATGAACAACTATTAATTCAATACTGATTGATAAAAAGTAATCTATATAAAGAAGGGCCTCAAAGACACACTCTCTCCTTTCGTAATGAACTCATCAACTTGACTTGTTAATTAATTTCGTTTACTATGTTTGATTTATTAGGTAAGGCAGCTTAGTCTTTTGGAAAGTGCGTTTATAGATTTTTAACGATTTTCACATTGACCTACTTGATAAGTCAAGAAAAACAACAATTTTTTTGGTATTTATTACTTTGACAAATATATATGAACTTGATATAATTTATCTTTATTAGGTAAGTGGGAATCGAAGATATGCACTAATAAAAGTTGGTTGTTGGAGAGTGATGTACACATTATATTAATTACATTATTCTTTATCATTAGACAACACATATAATTAAAGAATAAGTTTATTTTTCATATTTTAAAAAACAATATATTTATACGTAAAAATATAGCAAAGTTGATAGTTAAAATCACTTTTATTGAACTTTCCGGTAGTAATATTTTGAGATATATACTGCGTGGCATGGTTTTAAAAATGAGTTCTTTTAATTACATTGAAACAGCCTAAATCTCGTTTTTATCATTTAGAGTTAGAGTTTGGTTGTTCTTTCTTCTTTGAGTATTCTATGTGTGTTTAATCGAGGATAAGTGTGTTTTCTAAACAATGACTCAGTTACAAAGTAAAATTGACAACATTTCCTATATCAATTATTTCTTAAAATGTAGACAAAAACAAAAAGGATTTTTTTTGGGTCTATAAACTAATTAAAAAGGATTAGAAACTTAAATGAAATCACAATATAAAATATTTTCATATCAAGAAAGCCCAGGCCCAAATCCCTAAGTCAAACAAATAAGAAGAAAGATATATACAGATATTCAAAACTTGACTAAAAAAGAAAAAGAAAAAAGAAAGAAACTCAATTCGATCGTCCAAAACAAAAGGAACAACTAAAATTGGATCCAAAATATAATTGACATTTATATATCAAGTCAAACTCTCGTGGCAATACATGTTTATAAAAATAAATGAATAAAAAATAATTTGCATAATTGCTAAGTAACAAAGATGGAAAAGGGTATATCCTCAACATTCAACAATTCGTGATTGGCCACTTGCTTCAAATTTTGAACATTTCTATTATCTTGGAGACATTTTTGGAAACAATACTTTGTTTTGTTTTCACGTCAATTTGTGTATATGTTTAAAAGCATATTAAAATTTATGTAGATGTGAATTTAATGCTAAACTTATAACTACTAAAATTAAAATTAAAATAAATATAAATTTATAATTATTCAAACATAAAACCAATATTGCCTCACAAATGAAAAAAGTTAAATGCAGGACTTACAGTACATTTCCATGCTTCCTTCTCACTTCTTGGTATTTCCAAATGGGGGAAGTGATGCTTTTCTACTACACTTCTCTTCATCAAACTTCCTTCTATTATAGGGAAAAACAGAAAAAAAAAATATATGTATAAAAATATGTAATATAAACTTAAAAATTAAAGTGTTAAAAAATCTAGATTTATTTTGTAAAACCACACAAGGCCCCTCGCTAATTTTGTTTAGGCGTAGACCTATCTTTGTAAAGCGTTTTAAGTTTGATTTTTAATTTTCATATGCATTTCATTTTATGTTTTGCATTTACATGTATTATAAAAACAAAACAAATTTATATATGAGATTTAATTTCATCATAAAAATGAAATAACAAAACAAACCTTCACTTCCATTCTACCTTCGTCAAAAATATTAGTCCCAACAAACAGATGAGGAATATTAGAAGTGATTTTTTTTCAATTAAAAGAATATAATTTTACTCTAATTTTTAATTAGTAAATATTTTTTATTAATCAATTTCTTAATCATTATATTTAAGACAATGGATGATAAAAGCAAAAGTATTTAAAATTGTTTATTGTTGGGTAGTAGTAGCAATTGGTAGTGACTTGTGAATGTTTAGCGTGTGGCTTCTCATGGATCTCGTAATTAATTGCCCACATACATTCATCATAGAATTGGTCCTTTGGGGATTCTAAAAGTGCATGAAAGCGTATCCCTTTGAAGCTTTGACAAGAAGGAAGAACAACACCTTTATTTGGAGACAATGTGACACCACACTTCAAAATCTTATGCTACGCTAAATTCCATGCCACATAAATGAAGAAAACGAAACCATCTCCAAGAACTAGATCTTTTGATTGTAGTTCTTTCATGAATTATTTAACCATGTATAGATATATTGACTTGGGAAGCATTTGACTACAAAACCAAAATAAGTAAAAGAGAAAAAAGAAGTGGAACTTTTCATGAAACTAATTAAATTAAAGAATGAGGAATTAATCGTATGGTAAATGAACGCGGTGGGAAAACAAATATATATTGTAAGCTTCTTAATTAGTTAAATTATTCTATAATTTCCTGAATTCTTTAGAAATATAAATAAATCCTTATATTTTAAAAGTTGTAATTAAATTTTTAAATTATATATATAATTAGATTCCAGATGACATTTTCATTAGGGTTTTGTTAAGTGGGGAGACTTAATTATAAGTTTTAAAAAATCAAGATTAAGTATAAATTGAATTATTTAATAAGTCATTGAATTATTTGAAAATTTATAATTACTTCCTAAACTTAGCATAATCTTGGCAGAAATGTGACTAGAAAACCAATAAAAATTATTTAAAAAATTTAAAAACCTAATTATGAAATTTTATATTATAAGGTAATATTTACATCTTTCCAAAATGTTCAAGAACCCACAAAGTAATTTAAACTTTCTAATAATCACCTTTTATTTCATACTTACATTCACAACGAAAACTACCTTTTACATAAAATATAAAACATAGAGCATATGTTTATACAAAATAGAATTATAATTTTTTAGCGTGTATATAAAATAATACACAATAAAAAAATTAAAGTAAAAAGCATCACAAAAATTAATATATTGATAATATTAAATATTATAATTCTTAATGATTTTTTTCTTATTATGGGTAAGCAGATATTAAAAATTATTGTTTTTACACAATGTCATGCATTGTAATGAAATGTTTAAGATCCATATGTAGACTACATAAGTCAGCATTTTATGTTTGGTTACATTAAACATGAAGGTTCTCAAACTCGTCATATTCCTCATAGAATATTTAATGCATCTGAATTGGCATAAGGATTGTGGTAGGAAAGGACAGCATTATGACCACACACTTCGTAGTCTCTAAGGTAGTAAGATTTGGCTCATTCTTGGCCATATATGAAAGAGAAACAATCACCAACGTTATTAGGTTATGAACTGGATCAAGTTGACATGAAGTGCACGTGATGTGATGTGTGTTTCATAATTTGACACATTGCTTCTCCATGTTTTCGTACAAAGGTGATGCTTCTCCCTCATCTTTCCATGGTAGAAACATGAGGTTGGAATATCTGTTAAGTCTTCGTGCCCCACGTTTTATGATGAAATAATAATAATTTTAATTTTGATAATTATGTTATTTTCAATTATTCGTTTTTCAAACCATTAAATACTTGTTAGTCAATTTTGTATTAACCGAGGAATATGAAAATGCACACTAGAAATGAGTATTTGCTTCTACCAAAATAGAGGTTCTTAATCTTAACCATTTTTGTTTTTCAGTTTATAAAATAAGCTAAACTTTGTTTCTATTTCAATGAACCATAGTTTCACATGCACATGTTGCTGTTATATATAGAGATTTAAGATGGAATCTCGTATGGTGATCAAATTAATCTCAAGTAAGATAAAATTTCTTTAAGCTCAGTATATATAGATTTAACCTCAAAATATAGGGAAATCAAATCTCACTAGAGTTAGCGAGTGTGCTAATAATAATAAAGAGATTGTAAAAAAATCATGTTATTACAAGATACAATGTTTTTTTTTCTATATAGTATATTTTAGATATGGAAATAAAAAATATTAAAATTTATGTTGAAGTACGTTAAAACTTATGAGAAGAAGTATTTTTTGACGTTATTTTATTTTTTAATTAATACTTTCGAAACACTTGTGTGCATTTGCCTTAAAATAATTAAAAATATGTTAACTTTAACGCTTTGAATTGAATAAAATGATTGACAATAATAATGTTTCATTAAAAACTTATGTATTCCATTTTTTTTAATTTTAATGTAATAAACATATTCCCATTTAATAAAAATTTATTACTTTTATATAATTTATCCTTTCAGCCCAAAGCTCAAATAATTATACCAACGACAATCACATCATTCGAACGTGTGATGAATACGCAGCAGAAAATTTGTGACTTCGAATCTGAACAGACGTACGATACACAAGTGATGCTTACCAAAACAACATAGAAAACACTGGCCTTTTTAATCCGTAATAAGGAAATTTTAAAAATTAATTATTAAAATAAGTAAATTTAATAATATTTAAATAATATTAAACAGTAAATAAATAAATACTACACACTAAAAATATAACATCTTATATTAGTGTGTGACTCACATGTTAGAAGGCACTACACACTTGTGTCACATTTTGATAATGTATTCTTTTTCATTTTGTTCAATCCATTAGAAATTGATATCCTAATGTTGAAATTTAAATATTATTTTTTCTTTTTTTGATCAAATTTAAAAATTTAAGTTTAAGTTTTTTTTTTAACATCAGTTGAAATTGAAATTGAAATTGAAATTGATTTTTTTACTAAAATTTGAATTCAAAATTTAAATTTTTTAATCTTAAATTTCAGTTAAAGATATTATATTAATAAATAATTTAGAATTGTCTTTATTATCATTAAAAAGGCAAAGACATTTAAGCCACCCAACTCTACAACTATGCAAGCATAAGAAAAAGAGGACCACACACAGATGCAAGGTAGTCCTTTTACCAGATGAATTTAAATTAAAAAGTAAGGAAAAGAAAATTGTGCCCAAAATAGAGGTAGAGAGAGAACATGGCATTGCACTAAAAACAAACAAGTTGATCACAAGTTGATCAAGTTAAGGATTACAAGACCACTGTCCATACATTTTGACATGTGTTAGCCATAGTACATCTGATAGAGAAGCCTTTCAATCACAAGTTTCTCTATATCTTTGGGAAGCATCCAGAAAAGGAAAATGGGCAAGTTCTAAAATTTGTTACAACCTCAGAAGGCCCCATATTTTTACTACACCAACTATAATCTCAAAGATACTTACCTTTCTCTTCCTCTTTCTTCATTGAGTCCATTTCACTTCAGGAGGCATTCCAAGCTGCACCAAAAACCGTGTTGCTTGAGATGTCTAGTGTTGTTCTTTGGGTTAGTTGTGGAGCCATAGAGAACGTGAACTCCTTGGTGGGTCTTGCATGGAGTAGTAGTAGTTGTAGTGCAAGAACCCAAAGGAGGTTCAAACCTTGCTATAGAATCAGCTTTGCAAGTGGGGCTTCTGCTTTTTCCAGTGCAGTGGTAGCAGAACCTTCAAGATCCTCAGTGGAGAGGGTCTATGAAGTGGTGCTGAGACAAGCAGCACTTGTAAAAGAACAAAGCAAGAGAGCTCTGGATTTGGACAAGCCCATTGAAGATGACTTCGCCAATTCCAATGGGGATCTATTGAATGCTGCTTATGATCGGTGTGGGGAAGTTTGTGCTGAGTATGCCAAGACATTTTACCTGGGTACTTGTTTATCTCTTCTCTTGTTTGGAGCCTTTTCTTAGTCATTTTGTCTGCTTCAAATGAGTTTTATTATCCATTGCCTTATTGTAATTAGAAACATGTTCATACCTTGTGTTACATAACATAGTCGCACATAGCCGGGTTAACAACAATTTCAATAGTATATAACCAACAAGGCTATGAATCCAAATTATCAAGATCTTTCAAGATCACTCCGTTGCAATCTTGAATTGGGGCTCGCACTCAATTCTCAGAGTATTTTTATTCATTATTCAATAATTTGTTTTAGATAATCGAGGATAACTACTGGTGATCCTAGTACAACGTTATTATAATCGAAATGCTTTTTTTCCCTAAGCATTATGGGTCCAATTCCAACTGTTTTTTAATTTTTTACTGCTTAGTAGTGTATTTTGTTGTTGACTAAACTCATCTTAAAAATGCAAACTTTAGGCACACAATTGATGACCCCGGAGCGCCGAAAAGCCATTTGGGCAATTTATGGTATGTATGATGTGATTATATTACCCTTAAAACGCCAGCAATTGCTACCTCAGTTTCTCCATTGAGTGTTGTTGTTTTGGAATTGACAACTTGTTGTGCAATGCAGTGTGGTGCAGAAGAACTGATGAGCTAGTGGATGGCCCAAACGCTTCACACATCACTCCCATGGCCTTGGACAGGTGGGAGCAACGATTAACTGATGTTTTTGAAGGTCGACCCTATGATATGTATGATGCTGCTCTCTCACATACTGTTTCAAAATACCCAGTTGATATACAGGTACTAAATTCTGCATTAAATTAAATATAACTTGTTTTAGATGTTTTAGATTGAATTTTTTAACTTGTTTAACGTTGCACAACATAAGAAGATATATATAGCAATTTTTTATTGAAAATTATAACATTTAGTAATATGAATGCATTTAATTATATTGAATTTTGTAATTTTATTAAAAATGACTATATGTAACTTTTATCCTGTGTAATGTTGTATAAATTTAAAAAATCAATTTCAGATAGACAAATGCTAACGAGTGGCTTAAGAAAGGTTTTTGCCAAAAAGATGTAATTAACAAACCTTCTTCCCTTATTTCTAATGCAGTCCAACATGTTTTTGAAGAAAAATTTTTCACTTTGATTCCTTAACCAATGTCTTAAAGGCACTGCACTGGTTAGGACACCTTTAGATATAACATGTTTAAATTAGAGATCAGAATGAAATTGGCCATGTTATAACAACATAGAGGACTACAAGAATTATGAAAAGGGTAAGGGACATAAAAGAGAAATCGAGTTTAACCTTATTTTATGTGCTAAAACTGATCCTGTTTTCTCTTTGAAATAGCCGTTCAAGGACATGATAGAAGGGATGAGGATGGACCTGGGAAAGTCAAGATACAATAACTTCGATGAGCTCTACCTTTACTGCTACTATGTTGCTGGGACAGTAGGTCTCATGAGTGTTCCAGTAATGGGGATAGCACCAGAATCAAAGGCTTCAACAGAGAGCATTTATAATGCTGCATTGGCATTAGGCATTGCAAATCAACTTACCAACATACTCAGAGATGTTGGAGAAGAGTAAGATTCTTTGAACACATCAATGCCACATAATTGAACCAAAAACAATAACAAAATGAAATTTAACACCTTCTGACTTAAGGGTATCTCACACCCTGAATAAAAATAACAACATTAACAAGAATAAAAAATTGAAACTAGTTCTATACAATCAAATAGGCTCAAAACATATAATTTTATTAGTCCAAATAATTCAAATTATGTTTTGTCCAATTAGTAATTACCTGTTGTTCTTGACATCTGTAGTGCTAGGAGAGGAAGAGTGTATCTCCCACAAGATGAATTGGCACAAGCTGGCCTTTCAGATGATGACATATTTCATGGGAAAGTTACAGATAAATGGAGAAAATTCATGAAGGGACAAATAAAGAGGGCAAGGATGTTTTTTGATGAGGCAGAGAAAGGAGTTGCAGAGCTCAACTCAGCTAGCAGGTGGCCTGTATGGGCATCATTGTTGTTGTATAGACAAATATTAGATGCTATTGAAGCCAATGATTATAATAACTTTACAAAAAGGGCTTATGTTGGGAAAGTTAAAAAGCTCTTATCACTACCTTCTGCCTATGGAATTTCACTTCTAGGCCCTCAAAAGTTAGCCACAATGGTTAGGAGATAACTGTAATGTGTGTACTTTTTTAGTTAGAATTATATATATCTCAGGTAACCAACCTGTATTGAAGAGTAATCCATTCATTTAATCAGTTTGCAAGCAAACATTGACCCTGCTCTTTCCCTTTGTTGCCTTCACCCTTTAGGATATACATGTACAAGTGGCAATCAATTGTAGAATATATGGAAAAAAATCAAAGAAAGGGATAATATGCTTCTATATTATTATAAAATGAGTTCTTATTTTAGAGGTGAAATAATACTTTTACTTACTTTTTAGTCGTGTGTTTTTCTTATTTTATAAGATATGACTTCAAAGCTTTGCTATTAAATCAATCTTTACTCATTCTATACTATTTATTCAATTAAAGTACATTTTTACTTTCCTTTATATTTTAGTTGATGCTGAAATTACTTCTATCAACATTATGCAAAATAGAATAGTTATAAATCATTAGTAAATAACCTTCTATGAAATAAACTCATTTTAGTAATTTTCTGAACCAAAAAAATTAAACAATTGGATCTGTGTTTATCTAATTTATACTTATGTTTTATTCATATTGAAAAATGCCTATTCAATGTAAAAATAGTTGTTATTTTTGATATATATATTTCAGACTTGCAAGGGATATATGCTACTTTTCGTTTTGTGTCTGTATATTTTTGTATAGTAACTTTTAGTTGTAGCATTATTTTTTCTTGTATATTTTACTACAACAGATAAGCTTCTTCTTTTTTTTAAATAATAATATATTCTTATTCGTGTAATTTAACATCGATGAAAAGTAAAGTCAGTTAAGTTTAATTTTGTAATAAATTTTTTAAAATATAAAAAAAATTATTATTATTTCTTAACATGCTTCAAGGAGAGAAGCTTTTGCATAGGTGGATCCAACTTGGCTTGTGGAAAACAAATCTGACACAACCTTTTATGAATTAAATATATTATAATGCTATGTCACCTTTGCAGTGTTTTATTGGTTCCAACAGCCACGGAGGTGACAAACTCTTGTCTTTTCACCTTTTTAAGCATTTTCTTTGAAATTGTGATACATGAAAGGAAGGCATCGGCTTAATAAGATATTGGATTTTTTTTAATATGTACACAAGGCTATAGATTAAAAAATCAAGAAATAATAAATTGTATAAAAAATTATAACATTTTATATTCTTAATATATTATATTTTGTAATATTTTATTTTTAATATAAATTCTTATATATAAATCTTTGGTATACTTCAACATTCCTTCAATAAAATTAAAAATATATCATAAACTAATTGATTAATTTTGGTGGTGTCCAAATCTAAGAGGGTAGAAATTGTTTTTACCCGTCTAATCAATTCAATTTAGTGAATTGAGTTAAAATTTTAAACTTGCCAATCTATTTATCTTCTACTCATCTAACCCACATGTTCAAACAAGTTAAATAAGAGTGTGGTGAGTTGATATGTTGGATTGTATATTTAAAAAAAAAATATTTTTTTTTATTTTTCATATATAAATTTAATACATTTTAAAAGTTAAAAATATTGCTTTTAATAAAATTAATTATACATTTTTTTGAAATTTTTATTATATATATATATATATAAATTTTTATAATTATAATTTTTTTAATTATAAACAAGTCAATCCCCCAACTCAACAGGTAAAACAAGACAAATTAATATTTTCAACTTCCCAAAAAATAGAACAGATTAAACCCAACTTATTTTTTAATTGTTTGCACCCAACCCAAATTACAACAGATTATTGAATGTGATAGATTCACCTCGTGTTCCAACTTTCTTGATTCTTGCTAATACGAATAAAAAGAAAAGGAAACCCTAAGAGAGAGAATTTAAACGAGGGAACAATTAAGGAAAATATTCTTCAGAAACCCACCATGAGTGGTGCTGACCAACACCTCGTGTCTGATGCCAAAATCTAACGTGTTCTAGACGAAAAGGAAAATATATAATAAATTTCACCTTTTTTCGTTGGTTGGTTCACGGGTAACATCATATTTTTCATTTCATTAAATCGTTAACAAGCACCTTAAAAAGGTACTAAATAAGGAGTTTAAAATAAGCTTTTTCATAAAAAAATATAACAATGGCTTGCTTATATATTTTATAAACACATAGGTGGCTCCTTGCAAATGAAACAAATCTTGGGTTGATTTCATGAATAATATAGGAAAAAGTTGGCATTATCAACATGGTATATATCAAACAGTGGAACAAATATATACAATATGGCAATTACAACAAACTCGTAAAAACTTGCCATGTTCATGATCAAAACCCCCCAATATATATAACATAACATATTATTGGCAAATATATATTACAGCTGCTACTTGCAAGTTGCAACAGTACATCTAAAAGCCAAAACTTTTAGAAACTATTCCATGAGAACATGGACTTCATTTTCTCCTCACTCTGTGGTTATGACCTTCCCTACGTGTTGAGGATGATGAGGGAGACATAGAAGAAGAAAAACCTGAATGGTTGTTTACAGCCATATCCTTGTGAAATGCCTTTTGCACATCATCTTTAAGTTCCATGAACCGTGCTTTCTTCATTCTTTGCTCTTCTTCAGAGCCCTTTTCTAAGAAGAAAACATCTGGCATATCGTCATCTAGAAAGTTATCAAGCACCTCAGAGCAATGTGGAAAGAAGCGCCTACCATTCTCAACTGTTGACAATTCAAAAAGTATAATCAAGGAGTTTAGTAACTACATGAATGATGAAACCACCATGGTGTTCTTTTCCTCCACATTGTATCAAATTAATTTCCATTTGTTAAGTTATATAAGGTACTAGAAGTGATATAAAATTTTCTTTACTTCATTTTGTTTTTATTAGATTTTGGGTCATCAAGAAATGGATATTTTGTGAAGCAAAAATATTTAGAATTATAAATCCTGAGACCATTTAGTAGGTTCCTATTTGAATATATTCTAGGTCACCTGGATTTTATTTTAACAAGATTTGAAGATTAGAATCAGAACAAAAAATGCTATTTCATTGCATGTGTAAAAAATAGGCGTAGATGTAAGGAAACATAAGGTAAAAAACATCCCGACATTAGCAAGGGGATTATTCCTTGTCTCAGGCTTTGCTATTTGATACTTATCTTGCAATATCATTCTTTTTTCTACAGTTATAAGTATCTTACGATTCTCATTTCTCAAACAAAAGGACAGACAAATTGAGGAAAAAGTGGTAAAGATAATAATATATTAGTTACCGCTGCAGTAAAGTGGGCGGAGAAGGGGGAGCGAGGAAGAGCAGAAAATAGGCTAACAAATACAAGCCTAATTCTGAGATATTCACAATTTTGGTATATTCTGACCAAGGCAATGTACATGTAAGCTTGATTTGAAGTTAATAGAACAAAGTCATATTCATATGATATAATTCAAATTTCTCTTGGTCATACCTGTTTTAATAAGTGAATTCAATCTTAGCTGAAGTTTTCTGGTCCGATCAGCAGGAGTTTCATTTAAATCTACTTTTAGATTGCCATTTGAGGCCTTCAAAGATGATGAGCTTGCATAAAGTGATGATGAATCTGCCTCAGCATTCTCAATGGCTACCCTAGCCTCAGCAGGAAACATCATCCTAGCAACTGCAACTGCAACATGTGAAGCATGTTAATTTCATGTCCATATGCTTCCAAATTCAAAAGCATTCTATATATATATATATATATATATATTGCAAACTGCAACTCTAACGTATGCATTAAAACAAAGTGACCAAAACCAGGTACAAGCCCTACCTCTATTTTCAAGGTAATCCAGTTGCATGCGCAAATCATCAGCACTTAACTGTGATGAAACAGACATCTTCACAATATTAGAACAATTTCTCATCTCTCTCTCCAGGACATCAACACAGAGCCTATCCTTGTTAGATTCCTCAAATTGCATTGTTTTCACGTGATAATCCTTTCTTCTTGTCAACCTTTGACAAATTGCAAGAGCAGTTTGTCCATCTGGAGTGGTATCTGATGCACAGGCCCCTTTTTTCAATAGTGCTACCAAAATGGATGGATCCTTTCTTCTTGCAGCCACATGAAGAACCGTGTACCCTCTTGAATTTCTATGAAGAACATCAGCCAAGCCAAGACTAAGAACTTCTTGAACAATCTTAGAATCACTATAGGCACAAGCATAGTGCAGAGCATATGCATCATCAAGAGTGACACTAGACTCATTTAAAAGAAGCTTCAGTAGCTCAACATCATCAGAGTCCAATGCCTTATGGATTCTCCTGATACTCTTTTCATTCAAAGGCTCCACTTCCATTGCATTAGGTGTGGATTCTGGTTGAGATTGGACTCTGAGGGATTTGACTTCAGTCACAATATCACAAGGGAGCTCTTTTTCCAAAGAAATATTGTCAAAATCAGACCTTGCTACTCTTTGAATGCACCGAGATAGAAGCTGGTCTAGTTGGCAGTGAAAGGCAGCCATAAGAATAGGAATGACATCCTCTACAAGAGCCTTCTCAACAAAATTTAGGAGATGCCGCTGCATCAGTAAAGAGATATTTACATTACACATGTTTAGCAAAGACAAGCTTTTCTTGTTTTTTCGTTTTGGTAAAGAAATAGAAATAAATAATATATAAGTTACAAGTATAACTAACAGAGAATACAATATTTGATGACAAGATATCCTCCTCAAAATAAACAAGCAATGCAAAACATAGAGAAAACAAAAGGAATACATCAATACAATAGACATCAAGTCCCTCCACATGTCTAAATTATGGCCATTGCAAACATTGGTGGGCTAAAGTCCAAACACCAAAGAGCAAATGCAAGTAAACAAACCGATCCCAAATTAAAAAGGAAAAGTAAGATTTTATCTAATTGAAGTTTGACCCATGCTTCTAAGTCCTATCATAGGCATAGCTAAACTTTGGGAAGATTTTATCTTGTAGTGGCTTACTTAATGGGCAGCCTAAAAGGGAGGCAGATAATTACAATACATATCAACAGGATGTACGTTATGTGCAAAACATATTATAGACCTTAAGTTTATTGCTCCCAGTTTGTTACATTTCCTCTCTCGTAAAAAAATGAGTAATGAAGTAAAGAAATAAGCCATAGATAACACAACTGGAAACACAGTATACCTGAAAAAGTAAAACCAGCTCTTTCATCTGAAAAGTGGTAGAAGCATACATAAGTTCCAAAGCATAATTGATAGCAGGGCGGCATGCATCATGGATACATGTTTCATCAACACATGTTGTCACTTCTGGTGGTGAAGCCTTTAGCCTTCCAGTATACAAATAATGCAAGAAAACGTTGAAAGCTTCACATCCAACTGTGCCATAAGGCACCAATTCTGACATGAGATACCTTGGCTTTCCTTCTTTCACTGATCCATCTTTTCCTTTCTTAAAAAACTCATGAAAAAATGGACTACGTGATGCCAATATACAGCGATGAATACCCACAGTTTTGCCTTCAACAAAAATCTCAGCATCACTATAATCATACTCAGCATCAATCAATAACTTCTCAAGGCTTCCACTGAGCTTACCCAGACTCAAAATTTCAATACTTGCCCCTTGCTCACTGCTGGTGGAGGAAGACACGTTGTGATTGCTAGAACCATGTGACAATTGAGATGATACAAAGCTCAAGGATGATGATGCTTCATTTGAGTTATCCATGACCCCAAATACACTAAGTTCCAACCGAGTCAAAACACTATTTGACTTAATTTAGAAGAAAAAGCAGAAATTAGACCCCTTTAAGTGCCCATCCCAATTAAAAAGCTCTCCAACATCAACAGCTAAACAAATTAAGCACAAATAAGCAAAATTGCATAAGGGCACTGTTTCCCCAACCACAACACCAAGGTCACTTGCAAGTCAAGCAACAAAAGTCAGATTCCCAGAAAAAAAAAATGAGATGTTTTCATCTGAGCAGTTCATCTAATGACCCATCAAACTTATTAAGCAGTGAGAACAAAAAAGTTTGAACTTTTAGCACTTAAGTGTTGTCTGAAAGAAAATAAGAATAAATATTACATAAAGGGGACACCCTTTGAGTTAAGAGGGAAGCTGAACTCAGTAGGAGCTTAAGAGAATGAATCAGAGCCAAATCGTGAGTAACAGACTCTCTGAAACGCTTGATAAGTTGACCCAGGAAGCTTCAAAAAACTGCAAAACCAGAAAACAACTGAAGAATGAAGAACATGTCTAGTTTGAGATCAAGAATGCTTAAGGATAAGTCCTCCGCACCGTAGAAAGGAAGACTTAGAAGAGAAAGAGAAAGTGAAAAATGAACAAAGGTTGACCAACCAAATAGAAAGAAAAGAGAGAGAGAGAGAGAGCACGCTTCTCCCTAGGTTCCTTGAAAGGGAAAGAAAACGAGGACTAATGCATGTTGATATTTCTTTTCTTTTTTATTATTATTATTATTCTATCTCAATTTTCTCATGTCTGGTTTCTGATTCGTAAGTAGTAACACCCAAAACTCTATATATTATATGTCCATGTCAATTGGTTTTTATGTTTATCAGCATAATTTTGAATGCATGTACACGATATGTGATTGGACGAGGAAGAAGTGGTCAGAGAATTTAGGCATAAAAAGATTTATTAGATATTAAATATTAAATATCAATTATTTTTATTCAGACAGCATAATCATCTCTCTCAGGATGTTAGTTGATAGTCAAAGTGCTCCTATTAACAAGGGAAACAATGTTAGATCATTTTTCTACCAATTCATTTTCTAATGCAATGCACCTCAAACTTGTCCACACGCAAAGGATAGTATGTACATTAACTACATCTATCTTTTCCCTTTTCTTCAAACGATGCTGTATATATTCCCAAAAATGAGAGAGTGAAATTATAGAAATAAACTTGAAAAGAAAAGATGCGGACAGAATATTGAAATGTTGTATTCGCTAAAATAGGAAATAATTACAAAAGGAACTAAAGGGGTTGAAAAATTATAGTCACTGTTACTGGTGTTGATGCTTTTCACTGCTACATGAATTTCGCTTGGTATATCAGCTTTATATATAAACCAAATTTGATATTTTACTGATACAAAAAGAAAGCATCTCAAAATTAAACACACACGAGAGGAACACATCTAGTTCCGTGCAATTAGCATCGTTCGAATTTAGGCGTTCCTTTCGGTTTTTGACATTAGCTTTATTCTAATAATAAACCATTATTGCTAGTACCTTTAACTAAATTCCAATCTTGGTTCATAAAATTTAAAGGATTTTTTTTATTTTTTCCTGTGTGTCTTATTTATTTTGTTTGACATGTCTTCGATTATTATTATTAAGTTAAATCATTTTCTCTTTTATTTGTTTGGTTAATAATTAAAATTTTCAATTATATTAAATATAAAAAAGTATTTGAAATATCATTAAACTATTTTATATGATAAATTATTTTTTAAATATTTTTAAGTAAAAATTTTAAATAACTATATTTTGTACACGTTAAGTTTTATATTTTTAGTATAAAATTATTATTAATTTCACAAACTTTTAGCAATCAAACTATTTTGTAATTTTTTTATTTCATAATTTTTATTTTATTTTCATTTAAATTCTATTTTTTTATATATTTAAATTCAATCTAAAAAATAAAATCTAACGAGACTGATTATATAATGCATTAAATTGACATAACTAGTAAATATACTTATGCAATACACTTTGACAAAGGTTTGAGAGTAATAGCATAGTGTAATAAGAGTTACTATTTTATTTGAAAATTAATGAATTTTATTCTCATTCTACAAAATATTCAAGTGTAACAACAGTCACTATTTTATTTAGAAACATTATTTTTGTGAACTTTGCAAATTACTTGAAATAGAAAGGTCAGAGTTAACACACTTGAGGTAAGCCCTTGTGCCTTAACAAGATGAAACTATAATCAAAGTATAAAAGAGTAAGTGTTTTCATAAAAAACTTATTAGTTAAGATGAATTTATCACATTTTTATGTAATTTTTTTGAAAAAATGTAATAATCATTATAATTTTTATGTCAAGTAAATACACAATTAGATAAATAAATATTGGTTAAGTTACACTCGTTAAGCTCGATAAAAAAAGTTAAAATTTTATTATATGAATAAATATCATCTTTTTGTTGAGAAGAAAATTATACCTCATTAAAATTTCTAATCAACATTTATAAAGTAGAAGAATTGACATAAACATTTTTTAAGATGATCTATATTTCTTCCTTTTTAGTGGCCACATGATTAACATAAATATAAATACAGAACAATTTTCTGTCTATTACTTCTATTTTAATAATAATCAAAATGAGTGATCATAAAATTAAATTAATTATTTTTTTAAGAAAAATTTATAAATTATCAAGTATAGTTAGATTTTAACTATTGAGACGGTAAATAACTTATTTTCTTTAAAATTAAAAAAATTGAATGAACTCAACGTAAATCTTAAAAAAAAAAATATTGTGAGTTGATTTGTAATATACATTTATCGTTATAAACTTTTCTAATATTCCAAAAAATAATTAAAAAATCTTTAACTTCTAACTTCCATTTCTTTGCAAGTGCCTTAGAATACGACTTGATCAATTTAAATATTTAATAAATATTTATTTAAATATTAATTAAAGTTAGATCGAAACCACCTCTTTGAAGCTTAATTAATAATAATATTTTAAAAAATAATTTTGTTACAATATTTTTTTTAATTTATTTAAAATTTTGTTATAATTATAACATGTAATTCGGTTCATACAAGTCTGGTAACAGTACAAAATTAAACTTAAGCTATCAATTTAAAAATTCGAATTATTCAACCATTTTAGCATAACTTTGAACAACCTCACTATTTGCCTGAGGCCGTGTAATCAAATTAGCAGCTCTATTATTTGATTAAATATTAATTTTTATCGTAAAGTGTTAATAAAAAATCACAAATGTATTAAAAAATAAGACAAGCATTTATATTATGACTTCCAATAATTTCTTCTCACCCACAATCACACAAAGACAAAGACACGTGGCTAAACGGTAGGGTGCGTAGCAGCGTAAGAGAAGATGAAGTCGAGCACAGAGGAACATAACTCGTCCCAGGGGACTTGGGCAGTTGTATCCACAACCATCTTCGGCACGTCACCCACCTCGTACTCGGTGCTTCCTCCGTACCCTTCTAGAAGCTTCTCCAGTTCCTCCCACGTGGCAGGCTTGTGTCCTCCGCCGCCGCCGCGCACCTCCAGCCTCCGGCGCCACTCAGCGTGATCGGAGGGTTTGCACTCGATGACGATGAGGCGGGCGGAAGCGGAGGCGGCGAGGTGGCGGAGGCGGTGGAGGTGGGCCGGACGGGAGAGGGGAGAGTCGAGAAGGACGCTGAGGCGGAGGCGGAGTTGGGTGGAGGCAATCTGCCAGATGGCATCGTATGATAGGTCGTTGAGGAGTGACGCGGGTGAGGTTGGGTATAACGGAAGAGTGCAGTCTTTAACGTCGTCTTTGTCGAGTAGAGGGATTCGTAGTGCTGAGGCTATGGACTTTGCCAGCGTGCTCTTCCCACTCCCAGGGTGTCCCTTCATCGCTATTATCACCGGAACTTCTAATTTTTCCATACACCCCCACCACTTCCTTCCTATCTATATTTATTTCTAAAAAATAGATATAACAACACGAATTAATCAACTTTTATTAACAAAGTTTAAATGTAATTTGAATTTATAAAAAGAATGTCTAAAATAGATAAAAATTTATTTTTTAAGATTTAAATTATGCTAAACTTAATCAGATGGAGTTAAAAATGTTGAGATTTAATTTGGGTTGAAAATTCAGTCTTAACATTTTATGATAAACCCATTATGAATAAGAATAACCCTACTCAATAGCTATTTTCCTCACCATAATGCATAATTTTCTCGTTTCAAGGTTAGGTGCTTCCTTCGCATTCCCAATCTCACACCGATTCCAAATCCTTTTCTTCACCTCATTGCCTACCTTTTTCAAATCAAAGAAAAACCCACCCAAAGATGACAACTTTACGGTCTCTTACCTCGTCACCTCATGTGGGTTGTCGCCCGATACCGCCGCGCGTCTGTCCAGAAACCTCAGACTCAAAAATTCGTACAAACCAAATGCGGTCCTCAACCTTCTAAAAAACCACGGATTCTCCAAAACCCAGATTGCCACATACGTCCAGCAACATCCCAGGGTGCTTCTCAACAAGGCCCAGAAGACCCTTTTGCCTAAGCTCAAGTTCATCCACTCCATTGGGGTTCCAATCTCTGAAATCCCACGCGTCATTGCTCGTAACCATAAACTCTTAATAAGGAGCTTGTACAACTGGCTCGTCCCTCATTATAAGGTCCTTAGAAGTGTTCTTCGCAGTGATGAGGAAGTTGTTAGGGCTTTAAGGCACGGTGCACTTTCATTTCAATATGGTTACCTTACTGTGAAAAATTTGGCCTCTAACGTTAGTGTTTTGAGAGACTCTGGCGTGCCTCAAGCTTGCATCTCTTACTTGGTGATGTATCACCCAACTTCAGCATTTAGGAAACATTCAGAGTTTGTGGAAGGTGTTCAGTTAGCTAAGAAGATGGGGCTTGATCCTTTGAAAATATCTTATGTCAGTGCTATCCATGTGCTTATCCATGTGGATGGAGCACGGTGGGAAGCCAGATTAGCTGCTTATGCGAAGTGCGGTTGGTCTCATGAAATCTCTCTTATGGTGTTTAGAAAGTCTCCAGTTCTAATGTCGTTTACAGAGGAGAGGATTGTGAAATCAATGAATTTCCTTGTTAGGGATATGGGTTGGGCACTAGAAGATATTGCTAGATCCCCTCAGGTTCTAGCCTACAGCTTGGAGAAGAGAATTATACCCAGATGTACGGTAATTAATGTATTGAAATCAAAAGGTTTGCTCAAGAATCGTTTAAGTTTAGGTACCTTTTTGTGCATAAGGGAGGATATTTTTGTGAAGAAGTTTGTGACCAAATTTCTGGAGGATGTGCCTCTATTGCTGGATGTATATCAAGGTTCTATTGATCATCGAGATGTATTATAGTCTTTGAAGGTTCTTTTGGTCTATGCTTCTAACTTCCAATCTGCTATGGTTGCTGACTTGTAGGGCATTTCATTGGTAAACTGAACTTGTAGTTTTTATGCTTTCGTTTTTTGTGGAAAGATTTGATTTGTACTTCTCGGGTGGAGAAGGACTTTTTCTATTGATTTATGGCATACTAGTGCCATAATCACTGAAAGGAGACTTACATGTGGTTTTCAGTTTTATTGTATTGTTCATTTTGATAGTACAAAACACGCTGAAAGGAGAGTGCCTTTGTTTTGTAAGAAATGGGTAAGACTGATAACTTTGGCCTTGCTCTCTGCGTTTTTTTATTTTGTTTAAAGTTTAAATTTTAAGTATCTTGTTTATCAAGAGAAACATTTGTTCGAACATGTTTTGGATAATATACATGCTACTAATTAGAAGAGTGTCTGACATGTTGCATGCTAAAGCATTCAGAGGGGACCAGTAAGTATGTTTCAATGAAATCAAATTAAGCACTTTTGGTATGATGTACTCAAGTTTATCTTACCTTATGGCTGCTATTACTGGAAATTGAAACGATACCGTCTATGTTCTCACTGTTATGACTAATATAACCAAATAAGAAATGACAAATATATTATAGATTTTAACTTTTAATGGATAATGTTCCTCATGCTCATTTTATCTTTATTATTAATTATTAAATCTATGTTGGATTTGTTGTTTATAGCAAACATGATAATTTTCCTGCCCATTCTTCTGTATATATTTATCTGGGATATCTAAGACTATATGCTTCCCAAGGTCCAAAGGGGAGAGGACCTTGATTATAGTAATTTAATGTTTGTGATGACTATGTACATTAATGACTTGGATACTAGTGTCCTGATGCCTCTTACTTGGTCTTGATACTAACTTGTGTGGATGGAACACATCAGAAAACTGTCTGCTGAAAGACTGATTAATGGATTGGTCTCTGCTTTGTTTACATAATTTTTAAAGGAAAAATATTGAACACTTTAATGTTATTACCTAAGTAAATTTTGTGACTAATGGACTTCTGAGTTGGTTTTACTTTTAAACATAAAGTTTCTGAGGAAGAATCTTGGAGTGCCTCAACCTTTTTTCTCTCGCCTGGCAACCTATTGTCTCAATTCAATCTTTCTTTGAACCTGTTAAAGTAGCTAAGGAAATGAGAGTTGATGCTTTGAAGTGATCTTTGGTTCTTGCCTTGCAAGTGCTTGCACAGATGAATAAAGCAATGCAAAACACTTCTGGAAAATGTTCCTCTATTTGACATATGTAAGATAGTTTGCCTGCTCATGATTTAGTTAGTATTGGAAGGTTGCAGCCTTTCAGGCCAAATGATTCTACCGTTGCTACTTCTATATCATAGGATACTATTTTTCCAGCTGATCTCTGGTTTTCTATGCGTTCGATTCTTCACTCTTTGCCAATGTCTGACATTGTGTGTTTTCATTCTTTTTTTGTGATGATAGCATCATCATTTAACTTACACTACACTCACTGTAGATTTTTCAAGCGTCTTGATTATTTATTTATTTATCAGATTATAAAAAGTGCATTAAAAGTTGTCTGTATTTTGGGTTTATAAGTAAGATTTGACAGAATATTATCTTGCTATCCAACTTATGCCAAAAAATGATTGAACAAAAGGTTCGTGAGGCTAGAAGAAGTTGCACCGAGTTCCTATTTGTTCTGCTGTTTCAGGATCCTCAGTAATGAACTGCACAATGAAGATGATATAATTACAGCTTTAAGGTGCGACTCAAGGCGTAATGAATGATTTGGTTCCAAACACGAGTTTTTGAAGATAAATATTCCTAGACTCGTAGTTAAAATTTGCAAGTCTCAGTTAAAGAATGATTAATCCTTTATGATAAGAGGGCCTTTTTGAAGAAATTTATGACCAAATTGATGAGTATGTGTATATATGGATGTCACAAGGCTTTTGCAGGCTGTTTGTTTCTAACTTCAATTTTTACCTCTTCATTTCATTGTTCCGTTTTATCTTTCTTTCTCTCAGTATGTTATGCTTTCAATTTTGATGTCTGAAATTCCTAGCATGAGATTTGAACCAATGATTTCTAGCATATAGAGCTTGTTTGTACTAATTATGAAACTAAGTTTTGAAAAACTGAAAAGAAACTTGCTTCTCACAGGATGGAGGATTGAAAAACATGACAGAAATTCGAACCTTCCAAACGTTAAAACAAACATGCTGACAATACAAGTTGATAGAACGATGAATCTGCAGTTCCATGTGGCTAAATTAACTATTCACGAAAACATTGCGGACACACAGCATAAAGCATGACGTAATGTTGTGGGGTCTTACCATAAGCATCACACCTTGGTTCACATGATAAGACAATTGTGATTGCATAACCTTGGAAGCATGAAACTCCTGTCCCTGCACAACCCTCGTTTTCTTCCCACAACAGATTCCTCCATTTTCGGTAACGTTTTATGGGTTTATGCTCCCTAACACTCAACCCCTTTGTCCTATTTGTTTTGTTACCTTATCGTCGCCCAATGCCGCAAAATTCTCGTTTTTGTTCCAATCACGCATATTTCATTTGAACGACGGTTAGTACTAGCTGATACTTTTTACTACAATAAAAATGCTTCAAAATATCATAAAATAATAATTTTGTTGTCACTTTTGTTAATGAATTAATAACTTTTTTTATTCTAAAAAATGGTACGATTGCATTGAAAAACATGGAATAAACAATGTTTTATAATATAAAAGATTGTGCATTAAATGAAATTGAATCTAAGTAGTTAGGGTTATTAAATTTTAAAGTCAAATTCTCAAATAAATTATTATACCTTAAGACAGAGTAGCTAGCCGTTGATTCAATTAAGCAATGAACCTAAACTAGTAAAAATTTTAAAATGAAAATCAACACAATAATTCATAACCAAATTATTATATAAAAAAAGAGTAACATAGCATCCTTTTCTTATTAATTATTATAGTATTTCTTCATTTAACAATTAATCGGATACTAATTATTACCGAATTTTGAAAAGTTGAGAAACGGTTTTAATTTATTGAAACAAACCCGACACAATAAATGAGATTTAATTAAGACTAGAAAAGAAGATCTATGGACATATAATAATTGAAATGATTGGTGAAAAGGATTGAATACTGAGTAGTGAGTACCATTTTTCATTTTCATTTTAATTAAAAAAAAAGAATTTAGAAATTGTATAAAAGACGCGGGTGCCAACCATATTTCTTACTATCAAGCCATCTTCCTCCTCCTCCGAACCTCTTCCATATTCCAATCCCAATCCAATCCCAATTCATTGTGTTAGGGTTTTCAGAGTTTCAATTTCTCATATCCATTTCTTCAATCACCACTGCACATGCAAGATGATTCCACCACCTCCAAATTTCCATTGAAACCCATACACTCAACGATACACCAAGCGATCGCATTCCTTCCTTTGCTTTCCCTTCGCTAACTCTCCAAATTCACCGCTGTTCGGTACTGTACTTTGTTCCTTTCTGTTTCAGTGCTGCCAAAGCTTAAACGGTTTTGTTTTCAATTTTTTACTAGTTTGTGAAGAGATTTTACTTTAAAGTTTAATGTCATTTATTTGCTTATTTATTGTCGTTCAAGTCTTCTATGTGGGAATGTGCAACAAGTTGGTGTGCTTTGAAAATCCTGAAAGGACTCGAACTCCACTTGATTAAGTGGTTACGTGAATCGTGGGGTGCTGGTTTGATGTGGAAATTAGAACCCTATTTGAATTGCATTTTGGTTAACTTCATTTCTTAAATGATTTTCCCTCCATTTTTTTTTTACTCGGAAGTAGATTTTTCGTTTTAGTTTTCTTTTGTGACTTTCTTTTGTCAGCTTCATATTAATTTTAGTAGTTACTGATATTTAGAACAGTAACTTGTTTGACTTTCTGGATTTGATGTTTAGAGTGGTAACTGGTAACTGGTCAGGCTTGACATTAATGAATAAACCGTTTATTGCAAATATTCGGGTCTGGAGCATTTTACTGTATCTTTTTTCTCCTACCCTTTTCGGATGAATTTTTGTTAATGTTAATTATGTCATTTCACTTATGTTGGTTTGGTTGGTGGGTCTGCAATAATGTTGTTGCCTATTATTTACATTGCTGGGCAGCAACATTTGGAATTTGAATGGACCTTTGGCAGTTTTGGATGAAACTTGGTTATGTACACAGGGTATGAAGCATATCTTATCCTGTTGATTAATTTCAGAGGTTTTGACAACGTGTTTTATATTCTAATGAACTTTTTGGTGTCTTTGTTTGATGCTGAACGTTTGGACGTTCCACGGGAAGTTCTTACCTTTCTAGAGTTGTTTTGGCATAAGATTACTTTCAGTGAGAGAGATTAGGACACTTTTATTTATTTTGGTTGTGGACTATACTTTTCCGCAAGGAGGTTACCCTATCCTCCATACTCCTGGTATTTCTTTTTTCCCTATTTGAATATTCTTGCTTTGTCTATAAGAAAGTTTTAATTAAAAATGGGGTGTCCTAGCCTCTTTAGCACACAACAGCATGTACTTAATTTGTGACGTTTCTTTCCCTCAATTCATGTAACTTCTGTGATAGATATTGTCATCCGTAACTCATGAGTCACATTCATGGACAGACCAAGTTAGGATTCACCTTTGGCATTTAATTTTTTACAATCTTGTCATCAAACATGTATTTGTTCATGAAACAGGAGACAAGAGTATAGGTGGACAGCACATAAAATCTTCAAAAGATTTCTCATTCAAGGGGTAGTGTTGCGATGTTGGCTTCTAAAGAAATTATGAAATTCAAATCTTACCAGAGCCGGGCTAATTTGTTTGTGAAGGAATATTTGTTAGCCGTATCTCTAATTCCATACACTTCCATTTTTGGTGGTATTTTTGCTTGCAAGATGGTATGCTGTATTAACTTATGCTGTCATTCTATTTTCTGAAGTATTTCATCTTACCTAAGAACTTTTAAGGTTACTGTCATTATTATTTTTATTTTACATGTATATCTAAATATTCCCTGTTTCTCAGGTCTATGATCTTACTCATCTTTTTAGTGCTGTTCACTTTAAGAGCTATTCCAGTCTCACTAGACTCCAACGTGTTGAGTGGAATAATCGGTGGGTGGATGTTTTCATGTAGTAGAAAATTTCTTATTTTATTTCAGACAAGGTAACATGTTTATGATTTGTTTTTTTTATTCTTTGTGCAGTGCTATGTCAACAGTTCATGCTATTTTCATAACAACTATGTCATTGTACTTGGTGTTTTGCTCAACTCTATATTCTGACAACCAGTCAGCTGAACCTATTACACTTCGAAGCTCTTCATTGTCCACATTTGCTCTCGGGGTAAGAAAGATCTTGATTTTTTTTTTTTATCAATTTGTTTGCCTTTTCTTATCCTCTTTGTGATTTATTTTTGCACGTCTCCATTATACCAATAATCACATATAATTATCTCACTTCACTTTGGAGGACATGTCAATAAATCTAGTTCACCTAATCAATAGAATGAGGAGGTGGAGTTCATTTGTATTTCAGTCCATATTCTGATATTATCATGAATGACATGATATAGAGTTCCAATTCCAAAAAGTATGAGGTGATATACTTAATTAAGATGTAATTTTGGAGATTTTTGGTGGGCTCTTCATGTTTTTATGATGGAGATATTGTAAACCAAGTGTAAATTGCTAGATATACTGGAAGTGAAATTGGTAGGACGCCTTCCTTGTTAGAAAGCAGAATGGACTAGAGGAAAACGTAGGCTGCCAGGGTAAGGGAAAATAATATTTTAAGAAAACCTTTGATGACTAAGTTTATATGATAAGCAAGGAGATTATATTACCTTCCATTCAGTTTACTTTGTAGTGCATCAAGTGATCATGGAATCCAGCATTGAGATTTAAGAGAACATTACGTGGCAGATTTTTGTATCATGATAAAAAAAAATATCTGAACACCTGAGACTTAATCTGTAGGATACTAGTTATGAAATCCTATTTTCCTAGTATCTGTATGGGTACTAGGTAATGCTTGATTTTCAAAGTTTCTTTTTCTGCTGAAAGATTTGTGGTATAAAGGAAAAATGATAATCTCATATGTTCTACACTGTCCATCTTTTGAACTTTAAAGCATGCTGTTTAGACATGCATAACTCCTTGAGTGATTACTATTTAATGGTTAAAATGAATAAATGACAACTTTTCTGTTAGGATGGCCATAACTGAAGGCGTGGTTGATGCAATTGCCAAAATGGTTGGATCCTAGATTGAATATCTTAGACTGAAAGATTATCATCATTTCTTTATATATTTATGTATATGTATATGTAACCATGTTAGCATGCTAACGAATAATATTGGCATAATATATTGATAACATCTCTCTTATCATTTTTCTTAGCATCTGTATATTCTGCCAGTTCACTTTTTAATAATTCTTTCTATATATTGCTAGTAACGATTCACATTAAATGTGAACTTGTTATTGCATTCATTATCCTGATACATCCAATGGTAAAAAAAGAATTTTAATTTTATGTTCATAGCTCATATTATGACCTTCAACACATTTTTATTTTTTTTTAACTGGTCATGAAGTCTCGAATAATTTTTAATTATACTGCGACAGGTGTCTGTTGGTTACTTCATTGCTGACCTTTGGATGATACTTTGGTTTTTTCCTGCTCTTGGTGGATATGAATATGTAAGGATCATATCTTTTGACTTGTGTTGTTTAAACCAACCTGACCTGTTCATCTGAGCTCTCTTTTTCAATTTTAAGATGTTGCACTTGATAGGAACTCATCTGATGATTATGCCAAGAGTTTCATTTCCTTCCTTTTTTTTTTCTCCCTCTTTTGGTTGTGGGTCAGGATTTAACACAACTTCATATTTAACATTGATTCAGGTGATTCATCATCTGCTTTCGTTAGTGGCAGTAGCCTTTTCGATGTGTTACAGGCAGGGGCAGCTATACACCTACATGGTTCTTATCTCTGAGACAACAACGCCAGGGATCAATTTGAGATGGTAATCTTGCACTAAAGTTTGCACTCTAATATGTCACATAATCTCTATATTTATTAATGCATGCATTGTGTTTGCGAAGGTATCTTGATGCAGCTGGAATGAAAAGGACGAAAGCTTATCTCATCAATGGGGTTGTAATATTCATTGCTTGGCTGGTGGGTTATGTCTTTGCAGTTTGAAATATATTTATGTCCCTCTTAATGTTATATGTGGAATCGTTGTGAATTGCATATCATGTTGACTATATACAATTTTCATTCTTTCATCTTGGACATGCTTACTGAAATGGTCGATCTGCAGGTTGCCAGAATACTTTTGTTCGTGTACATGTTTTACCATGTCTACCTGCACTTTGACCAGGTAATAACTACTGACTCGCTGAATTTGAGAATTGTCTGGTATTTGGTGTTTTGTGGCAAGCAGATCTTAATAGTGAATTTTGGGCCTCTTAAAATGGCTAATAATGTTTTGGATGATAATTGACATACAACTGGATCCATTAGTTGCCTATCTCTTTCGGAACATCAATGTATTGTACATAATAAACTATATTGGTAGAACAACTTGTTCCAATAAATTTACAATTTGACTCCTTGTTTGCTGAGCCAAATGTTGTCTTGGTGGAATCCATCATTTCAACTACTAAATCATGAAAGGTTTATCCCAAAAGATTGATGAAAATACTACAACATGTAATGGTGGTGGTTTATGGTGAGATATGAGAAGCACAAATCATTACTGTTGCATTTTGCATGCATGGTCAGACAAATGTAATATATTATATACATATATATAATTTTTGTAATATATGGTGTATTCTTGCTTTGTATCTGAATCATGGTTTATTTCTATCTAATTTCTGGTCAAGGAAAGTCTACTTCGTAAAGCTTGGATCTCATGTCATTGCTTAAATATTCAACAGGTTCAGCAGCTTCACTCTATTGGGAAAACGTTAGTTATTTTTGTGCCGATGGTGCTATCAATTATGAACTTGGTTTGGTTTTCGAAAATTATCAAAGGGTTGAGGAAGACGCTGGCGAAGAGGCAGTGACATTTCTGCTTAGTGATATTACTTAGGAAAATGAAATACGGGTCAATGACGTGCAGTGAAAGATGTAACAGAACAGAAACAATTGAAAGTGTTTGGATCCCTTGTGGATCTGAACTTATATTGTATAAATATGTCAATTCTGCTCCATTATGTTCCTATTCATGTACATTTTGGTTTAATTTAATATATATTTTGTTTAATGCAACGTATTTGTTCCATCCGTTTGGCTGAGGAAACGCAGTGTTTATTATCGCAGTAAGTGTAGTATTTCTTTGGATCAGTAAAACGAATTTTGGTTTTAAGAAATGGCTTTTGGGGTTTATACACCTGATTTAAGCAAATTATTTTCAATCACGAATCACAGTCTTATTACTTCTAATACACGTATATTTCTGTTTTTTTCTTGATGTAAAATTTGTCTTTGTTTTGATAAAATTACATTTGAAAAAAAAGTATCATTTAGAAAATTTCCTTGGGTAGTTTCTAAGACAACAATTCAAAATTATTTACACTTTTTAAAATGAGATGTTTTTTAAATAATTTGGTTCATAATTTTTCTAAAAAAATATTTTTTACAAAATATTATAACTACTTTTTCATTTAAAGTCCCAACAAACGGCCTCACAGTCTTTTAAAAAATAAGTGATGTAATGTTGTGATTTACATAACTAAAATTGAAGTGCTGGATCATTTTCTTATTATAAATGATAACTAAAGCTGTTCACTTAGTGCGGAGAGGGTTTAAACAATCTAACATTGATTTAATGGAAACAAAACCATTAAGCAGTTCCAAGGATCATAACAGCACGTGTGGTGTTGGTGGCTTTGAAGAGTCTGGAATCTGATTATGACTAGAATCTTGCAGTTGATGTCAAATGGACATGACATGTTAAAGATGCCAAATTTTTTTATGTCAGATTCAATTATTACATACATAATATACATATGTCCATGTGCTGATTTTATCTCACAAGGACAATTGCTACTTGAATAAGGCGACAATATTGAGATGATTAAATAAAAAAATAATTTTAAATTCTATCTTAACATTTTTTTTATTTACTAAAACACAAAGTTGAGTATTTTTTTATATTTTCAAGATATTAAATATATTTTTTATACTCAATATATATTTTTTTAATTTTTTAAAAAATAATGAGAAGAGGTAACAAAAATTATAGCAAAAGATTTATATTTTTCAAACTGGCTTGGCAATTTATATAAAAATTTTCAAAATTTAAAGACTGAAAGTTAAAAGTAGTAAAATAAAAGAAAGAAAATTGAAAAGAAAAACAAACAAAAAAAGAAAGAGAAAGAATTTTGTCGCGTTATCGTATTTTGTCATACGTAAAATGCCATGTTAACGTCACTTTAAAAATAAAATTTTAAAGTTACAAAAATTTAGTTAAAAAGTTTTGTAATTTATTAAAGTATTGTTAATTTAAAAATACAATTTTGTCATGCCATTGTATATGGGAGTTTGAGTTTATTGTTTACAGCGTTTTTGGATTCTTTTAAATAGTCATAAATTAACGTTTAATTTATCAAACTTAATCATTAATAGGCTCCCTCTTACTCTGACTCTGAGTCTCACCCCACCGTCCCTCCCTCCTTTCCCCCACCGGCCACCACCCCACATGAGAGGACAGGGACGAGGGAGAGGGGATGGGGGAGATCGGAATGGCTGGATTAGTCACCACTTACGCTTGAAACTTGAAGGCAAAAGGTTGTGGGACACTCACTGTACGTACTAGTTGAATTCTCAGTTGAATCTCTTTCACTTGACTTATACAATTTGACCCGTTGTTGTGAAGAGAGTTTGGGTTCGTTGAAAATCATTGGTAAAGGAGGGTGTGGAGAGGTTTACAAAGCCGAATTACCAGGAAACAATGGTAAATTGATTGCTATAAAGAAGATTGTTCAGCCTCCAAATGATGCTGCTGAGTTGGCAGAAGAAGATAGCAAGCTTCCGCACAAGAAAATGAGGCAAATTCGGTCTGAGATCAACACTGTTGGTCTAATTAGACACAGAAATCTTCTTCCTCCTTTGGCACACGTTTCTAGACACGATTGCCACTACCTTGTGTATGAGCTCATGAAGAATGGCAGCTTGTAGGATATGTTGAGTAAGGTTGAAACTGGTGAGAGAATTGGATTGGATATCAAGGCTCTTGGTGTTGCTGCAGGACTTGAGTACCTTCACATGAGTCATAGTCCACGCATAATTCATAGGTATCTCAAGCCTGCCAATATTCTTCTTGATGATGTCATGGAGGCTCGAATTTCAGATTTCGGACTCGCCAAAGCCATGCCCGATGTTAAGACTCACATCACATTTTCCAATGTCGATGGAACTCTGGGGTATATCGCTCCGGAGTATCTTCAGATTCTCAAGTTCACCGACAAGTGTGATATATATTGCTTTGGGCTTATAATTGGTGTGTTGGTTACTGGGAAGCTTCCTTCTGATGAGTTCTTTCAGGACACTGATGAGATAAGCTTGGTGAAGTGGATGAGGAAGGTCATGACTTAGGAGAATCCCAGAGAGGCTATTGATTCAAAGCTTCTGGGGAATGGATATGAGGATCAAATGCTTCTGGTTTTGAAGATTGCTTGCTTTTGCACCATGGATGATCCTATGGAGAGGACTAATAGTAAGGATGTGAGGTGCATGTTGTCACAGATCAGCCACTGAATCAGTATGTGATATAATGTGTACAACGTTTTTGGTTAAGCGTGCTTGTTTATGAATATCAAATATAGTCAGATCATACAAGAGGCCATAATAGAGCTAGATAGAAAAACAAGTTAAAGGGAAATGAGGCAACTAAGTGGCAAACAAAATGAGAAGGGTTATCTTACATATTTTGAAAGGATATATTATATGGTACACACACAGGTATAATATATGTACTCACATAAGCGGTAAAAGGAGCCATGTCACGTCATGAAAATTACATTTACCTTAAGATGGCAAAAAGGAAAAGAAGCTTTAGATTGTCATCTTAAGGTATGTTATATTGTTCACAATGACAACCACAGCATCTGAAATCATTTTGAATTGACATCTCTGCTAAGAAATGTGTTTAGCCAAATTTTTTAAGCGCCCTTGTCTCATGGAATACCGTTTGTACACTGAGGAGTGAAGATTAATATGAAAGAAATTGTGAAACTTCTGCTATAAAAAACCACATTTTTTAAGAAATTTAATGAAAAAAATCTATCAATGTTATTTACGTTCCTTGTTTCGTAATTTGCTGAAGATTTGTAGCTGCTTCACATCACAACCAAAGTCAGCACTTCCCACATGTACTATAGCATAGCTGAACAATGCCAGCACGTGATATTATCCTCTAACTATGCATTTGGGGTAAGGTGTCCAAGTACATTGAATCTTCTGGCATATATGTTGTCTTCCTCTTGCATGTGCTATTGTTATTTATGTTTAGGACTATGGCTTTGCTGGACTACTAAATTTCAGATTTACAACTCCAACATACAATTTTTTGTCCAACTCCAACATTATATAAATTGCAGATTCTACCATATTTACACATTTGTTCACATAATTGTAGCTCGGTTTCACGACTCCTAAGTCTCTTTTAGAAACTAACAACCCTGCTGTTAATTAAATAATTCAGCATTTGAATATTGACTCCAATCTAACTCATCCTTAGCCACCTATTCATATTTTCAATTCTATTGACACGGAGTATCGAGTAATGCCTTTCCAATTTATAGGGTGTGGAGAGGTTTACAAAGCTGAATTACCAGGAAGCTGTGTTCACTGAGGAGAGGGATTAAACAATCTAACATTGATTTAACAGAGACAAAACCATTATGCAATTCAAAGGATCATAACAGCACTCCTATGTGCGATAAGGCCGACACTGAGGTCTATGATTCTGAAACTATAGATCACCAAGAACAAGGAGGCTATTAATAATTAATGGAGATGCTCCCTCTGGTTTCAATTTAAATGATTATTCTTGTTTCTCATTTATTTACTCTTGCAAGAAAAAATTAAGTTGTGCTCCTTCCTAAAATACAAGACCAACATTTCTTATGTCAAATACATTAAACCTCTTTAACGCTAGTTTTTTCTTTCCCAAAAACAGTTCACAAGGGCTTAACAACTTATAAAATGGGTTTTGAAAAACTTGTAGTTGCTCTCAAAGAGAAGAAAGTCAGAGCATAGCATCTGTTTTATATTTTACAACACAACACTAAAATCCTATCTCAGCGATGATGATCTCATAGCAACACCCAGATATTAAGTTAAAAAAAATTATTAAATTTAATAATAAAAGTTATATGCATACATAATCATAGCACCAGTTTCAAGAGTATAAATAAGATCAAGGGGACCCAGAACATAAGAAAGGAAAGGAGCATGGACAATAGCATAAACACCAGTAGCAAGGACAAAGGAGAAATGCATCCAGTAGCAAAAGCACGAAGAATCACACTCAGTCACAAGATGATTTCAATTGCAGTGTGACAAGCTTCTGGTGGAGTCTGAGTTTAGGTTGATTTGTATTTATCATAACTTAGGCAACTCCAATTTTTTGTCCAATTTTAAAGTTATATAAATTGTAAGTCCTACCATATGCACACATTTGGCTGCAAATTCGCAGAACATGATTGACAGTTCAACTTTATGTAATATAACATGATGTGATGTATCCAGTAGACTTTGTGTGAGCAGAATGCGAAATGCAAAGATGAGACTTTTATATGCATAAAAACGGCAGATTAATTAAATAAGATATAATAAACTAACAAGCCTACACTGTAAAGAATATAATAATAAACTAACTATAATAAGTCCTAGCCTAAAATGTTAACACTAACTAGTGTTGTGTACGTTTAAGTTAAAAAAAATTACACATATGTTCAGATTGTTAGATCTAAGTTTATATAATTGTTTAGAAAAGACGACGAAGAACTATAATCAACGGAATGATTATCAGCTGCAGTTGATGACGAAAAAGGCATCATCTCTTTGCCATTCTCACTATGCATCATGGAAATTAGAGGCGTGCTAAAAGAAAATGATAGCCCAGATAATTTAATCTGCCCACTATTTTCTTCTTCATTTGACATATCATCACTATGCAAGCGTGCACTTGACTCTGGCTCCTGCAAGGTACCAATATATATATATATATATATATATAAATTACTCTTATATACCATAC